CACTCAAAAAAATATACCAGGATATACCACAGGAATTCGGCGAATTCTACAGGAAATTCCCCCTATATAAGCGACAGCAGGAATATTTGTTAATTGTACGTGACAATTCCGGTCTTTTAATTCCTTCAGAAATAACAAGTTTTAGACCAGTAACTGTAACCGAACTGTAACTAATTCTCCACATTAAATGCTATATATACCTTCTAAAAAATCAGGTACTTGAAATTCATTGTATGGCGAAACACGTGTTGCGTTTTTGTAAAACTATCAAGTGAAAATCACACAATAAAGTGTTTTAAGAATACGTTAGTTATGGATTTTCATAAAGTATCGGCCGATTCCATCATATATATATATATATATACAAGTCAAGAATGGAATAATTCGTGGACACAACACTCAAAAAAAAGGGGGGCAAACCGCGGACATATGTCACTGCTAGCGGCAAAAGGTGGCTTTATCAAAGGAACGCGCGGCACTTGTCAAAGAAAAGTCGCGGCGATTCCCGTCGATTTTTCTAGTAACATTCTAGACTTCGTTCGCATCGATATAAATAAATAAATGCTGAGGACATGCAGTGCCACGCTTCAACATCCGAAATCACTTTTAAGTTAAGTGTAGACACTACAGCTCGTTTGTTTTATAAGAACCGATAAACTCGCAATTTTGAATAATTATGACTTTTTTCATTATTTTAGAGCAAAACTACACTTACCTATAACTATAACTGACTGTTATAAGGAAACAAGTATAGGTGAGGCACCAGTCAATCTAATAATAATAACACTGATGATCTTCAAACAAAACTCAACCTCTGTCGGAAGCAAGAAACTCTTTGGAAGATTCGAAATAGATGAACATTTCAATCTAGCAGACCACTATTATAATATTCATGCAGTCATTGTTCACTGTGGTTCTGAAGTTGAATTTGGTCATTATTATGTCTTGGTCAAAGTCGAAACGGACTGGTTTAAGTTTGACGATAGTCGTGTCACGAAGTGTTCTGGTGTTGCATTGAATTTATTGGAGCCTCTGGAGACACCCTACATTTTGTTTTATAAGAGAGAGGACATTGGTAGATTGAGATCTTCAGATGAGATGAATTTCCGTTTGAAATACAGTCGCATAGGTTCCTAGACAGGTTGATATCTCTGTCCTGGGTCTGCGACTGAAAACACCTGCACCAGAACCGGAAGGTGTTTTTGATCCATCTGTGACCAACAACTATCTGCTCTTAGTATTTCCTTCTCCCGAAATATCCAGTCCTGTCTACTCGGGATAAGGCAGTTCATAGTTGACGAAGGCTTGAATTCAGAGGTCATTTCCAGTGTCAACCAGCAATCTGTTGCAATTGGCAACGTGCACAAGTCTATATGCAGTCCATCTAGTCTCTGACGGTGTGGTACTGTTGGCACCACTGATGGCCAGACAAACCTATGTACCTCTGTAAGCCAGAGAGCTTTGCCTGGGCCGTTTTCTTATTGATTCTAGAAAAATCCCTAGAAAGATCCCAGAAACAATCCTGGTGTATGGAAGAATTTATTTTGATGGATTCCAAATGTTGTCGTTATAAATCACTCAGCAGACTCAGCAAGACTTTCAGCCTTGTTGATTCTGAATCACTCATTAGTACATGAAGCCTACTATTGAATTCAGCTATTTTACAGTGATATATAATAAATGATAGTCGCCATCGCTTTAAAATGTTTGTGTATTTTGTTTTCTACCAAACAAGCTGTAATAAATAGTTATGTTCGACATACACACATTTACATTGGACCATATCGAATAAAGATTTTTTTGGGAACATTCATTTTGTCAGAGTTGGCTACTCTGGGTATTTGTCATTGGTGTCAGTTGTCATATGTCATAAGTGTTTGTGTTGTGCATTTCTTAGTTTCATTTGCTGCATAAAGGTCGTTTAATTTACGTGCTATCAAGTTGAGAACTTATGCAATAAGTTTGATTGGAAACGTTGTACATTAAACGACCCATAAAACTTCTAAGGGTGAAATAAAGATGTCTCTCAATTGCATTTTCACTATATATTCGCTATGGACTATGGACTATATTCGCCCAAGAAATTTTCTAACAATCCCTTACCTTCGTCCTCTATCTTGGGGGTATCCTTCCTCTCGAATAATGCGACCACTTAGGAAAATTAAATGTTTTAAAAATGAGGGTGATTTAAATGCATTGGACCGTTAAAAGGGGTGACATTTGCGATTCGTTGCACACTTTTGATGTCGTTGAAACGGTCGGAATTCAAATTGGGGCCATAACGATATTCTACGACGTATGCGGAACGCCCGCTGAATTAATTCCCGGATAGCCGGCATCTAGGAATGGCACAGGATTATTCCAGAGATGTAAATGTTTCGTAGGCTGGCTCATGTCTCATAGAATTGAGTTTATGTTCAGTCATCCTACGAGGTACCTAACCAGTGTTGTTCCTGCTTGAAAAAAATTTATAACGGATATATAAAAAAGTAGCAGTCGACAGAAAATTGTAACTTTTGAATGCGCAAACAATGAGTCGCATATAAAGCGAAACATTCCGCGCCGAGTGGTTGGCAACACCAGCTGATTTATCTCCCAAAGTGACAGTTGACAGTTAATTTAAAACTGACAGAAGACGTGTAGAAATGCGTTTCCATCGTCGGTATTTCTACATTAAGCACAGAATACCTTACAGAAGGGGCACTCAACATGGAACAGGAACAATGAACTTTTTGAGAATCTGCTTGAAAAAAATTTGTAACGGATGTATAAAAAAGTAGCATTCGACAGAAAATTGTAACTTTTGAATGCGCAAACAATGAGTCGCATATAAAGCGAAACATTTCGCGCCGAGTGGTTGGCAACACCAGCTGATTTATCTCCCAAAGTGACAGTTGACAATTAATTTAAAACTGACAGAAGACGTGTAGAAATGCGTTTCCATCGTCGGTATTTCTACATTAAGCACAGAATACCTTACAGAAGGGGCACTCAACATGGAACAGGAACAATGAACTTTTTGAGAATCTGCTTGAAAAAAATTTGTAACGGATGTATAAAAAAGTAACATTCGACAGAAAATTGTAACTTTTGAATGAGCAAACAATGAGTCGCATATAAAGCGAAACATTTCACGCCGAGTGGTTGGCAACACCAGCTGATTTATCTCCCAAAGTGACAGTTGACAGTTAAATATAAATATGACAGCTAAATATAAACAATGTTCAGCAAGCTCTTCATCATTCCTAATGTTCATCAATTCTGTAAATCAATTAACTATATTGAAGCGTGTGTATATAGATATAGGTATAAGACAGTCAATTGTATATAATTGAATACCCTGAGTGGTAGATGGAAAGCACAACACAAGTACTTTAGTTACTCAGGTGCATCCATCCTCACACTGAGGGAAATATTAACTGTAAATATAACTGCAAAAACTGTAAAAATGATGACCTACAAATAAATCTTGAAAATCTTGAATCTTGAAAAAAAAAAAATTTAAAACTGACAGAAGACTTGTAGAAATGCGTTTCCATCGTCGGTATTTCTACATTAAGCACAGAATACCTTACAGAAGGGGCACTCGACATGGAACAGGAACAATGAACTTTTTGAGAATCTCGAGGCGATAACTGCCAACCTAAAAACTTTGTCGAGTTGTTAGTGTACTTTGACATGGTAAAATTAAGGTAGCTTAGTTGAAATTGTTGAAATGTTGGCCTAACAACATACCGAGATGACATCGTAATAAGTCCTCGACTTATACCTGATAAGATTCAAATAACTTGAATTTACCTTAAATACCTCGAACATAGACTATAGGTCATAGAAACTTGACACCTCAACGTCAAAGTGCCGCCAAATGAGAGTCAGCTCCGATGTGTTTATTGTCAGTTGAAAGCTTCTTAAAATGTATCAAAATGTAAATGTCAAAAAGTAATATTTTTTAACTGAAGTAACGTCAGAAACAACACTGAACTGAAGTTTGGAGGTAGTCGGAAAATTCATAGTTTTTAATTACAATTGAAGTAGGTTTTAAAAAAATCTGTTTAAAATCTGTTTTTCCGTTAATCAGCTGTCGTCCCAATACGAACGACAACTCTCAGAAGTTGAGAAACTTGTGCGAGCTAAGGACTAACGAGGTCCTACCTTTTAACGTGTGATTCCTAACATATCTATTTCTTCATATAATGTGGCAAATAGCATTGTTGCCATTTTTACGTGAATATGGTCAGTTGAGCATATTCCAAAAGGATTATGTGGTGGCCGGATTTTATATTTCATTCTTAACGATCCCGTCATAACTGATGTCATGTCGCCAGTCAAAATAATTCAAATACTTGAGATATAGTTCAACCATTCAATTTATTAGAGCATCTAATCAAAATATAAAACCCTGCCGCCACCTGTTTGGAATATGATCATTACTAAACTGAACCACAAAAATTTCGCGTGGCGCCATCTAATGGGGAAGAATGTTATTAATAGAATTTGTAGCGTTTTAGTGGTTGGTAACAAAGATATTTATGATATATTGAGGACACGTGTGTACTTACTGTAATTGAAAAATATTAAATTTTACCACGCTCAGTAAAATCATTTAGTGTTTGGACATGTAGTATATTTTGTACATGTGAAGTTAATATTGTTCAACCTGTGACAATAAATTCATACATTTCACAAATTTTCATTCCAATGAACAATATCACCAAAATTCTAAATCATTTTATCAAAGGCGGTAAAATTTCAATTACTATCATAGTAAATCTTTTCAATACTATATGTCAAATATCAGTGTTGCCAAACATGAAACTCTCAAAACTGATTGAAAGATGTTCACAAATTTTTACGAGAATGTATTTAATAGAAACTACTAGTATTTGGTTCATATTTGGTCGTAGTATTCATGTAACCTATTTTGTAACTTACAACCTTCCCAACTCTTACGTTCTGCTTGTAATCTGTATATCATTAAATCGATTTTTCTGTTGTTCCAGGTGCGAGCGACCGGCAAAATGTACGCTTGCAAGAAGCTGGAAAAGAAACGCATCAAGAAGCGCAAAGGGGAAGCGATGGTCCTCATCGAGAAGCAAATTCTCCAGAGGATCAACTCTCGTTTCGTCGTCAATTTGGCGTACGCGTACGAGACGAAGGACGCCCTCTGCCTCGTCCTCACCATCATGAACGGCGGCGATCTCAAGTTTCACATCTACAACATGGGCGGAGAGCCGGGGCTGGACGTAGCCAGGGCGAGGTTCTACTCCGCTGAGGTGGTGTGCGGGTTAGATCATCTCCACCAGCAGGTAGGGGGTGTGTCGATACGATACAGTTTTGGTTATGCCACAAGGAAGGCATTTGGGGCTACAAGTTTTGTAATGTATACGATATCACGTTCAGATAGTTTCTTATCACTGATAGTACTCTTACTCAAAGATCTAACAGAAGTGACAGTTAGGCTTATACATTTGTAGGCTTCATCAAATTTGATTGTTAAAAATAGTTGCCTTCAAGGGCGATATAAAGATTATAGTGGTCACACAATTCAATTTTCATAATACGATTTGTCTTTAGCCTCAAAATAGGCATCAGTTTCGACAAATACCGTTTCATCAACGCCGAATTTTTTTTCAGCGAGTATTCTCTAGAGGTCTGGGAGAAGGAAAAAGTCGCTGGGGGTCAGATCTGGAGAATACGGCGGAACCAATTTGAATCTCAATTCATGCAATTTTGCCATCGCTTCCATTGATTTGTCAGACGCTGCATATCCTTGATAAAAGAGCACTATCTTTTCCCTCAATTGATTGATTTCAATAAAATGTTATATCCCACTAGCTAATAGTAGAGAAAGCCAAAAACTTTCTTTCCCAAAAATTATTCACTCCTAAAAATATAACCCCTTCAATTCACTGTAATTCAGTTATTGAAGTGTTATTAAATGGAAAGTGTTCGACATCCTCAGCAACTTCTCCAATAGGGAGTCGACGATTCTCCATAACAGTTTCCTTCACTTTCTCAGAATGTAAATTCAATCTCAATAATACTACTATCACTATTTTCCCTGTCAAAATATAATCTTTGACAGGGTTGAATGTCTTGCAAAGGTGCTCTTATGAAAAGTAGACAATCTTTGATGTGGATTTCATAATCTTCAAATGATTAATGGAAAACCTTTGTTTTAGGGCATTGTATATAGGGACTGTAAGCCAGAAAATATTCTTCTAGACGATACAGGTCACGTAAGGATCTCAGATTTAGGTTTAGCTGTAGATATTCCGGAAGGAGAGTCTGTTAGAGGTAGAGTTGGAACCGTAGGATATATGGGTAAGTACACATAATAGTTTTCTGAATTAGCATATGTTGTGTTGTCGTGAAATATGTGAAATATTATCGGAAAGACAGACAAGGAATCAACGGTTTTCGCCAAACTTGAACAAGCTATCTCAGCTTTTGTCCCAGAATCTTCATAGTGCCTTCACTGATACATGTGATTCAGATGAATTGAGATTACACAAAAATCACACATAAACAAGTTTTCCGATTATATTGTTATTGAACTGATACGATAATAAATGCTATTTGATATATGATAAACTCTCACGATTTTTTTTCAATGCAAAATCACAAATTGAATTAAAGTTGTGTCATCAGCAAATATATGTTATTCACTGAATGAATTCAATGTAGTCAAAGAATTAAAATATATCAGAAACAAAATAGGCCCCAGTATTGTTCCCTGCGGTACTCCACATTTTATTTTTTTCCAACTAATTATGTCGCTCATACAGGAATTTTGAGATTCAGAAGTTGAAACTTCAAGTTGATTTCACTGGGAACAAGGATGGAGTCATTAAAAATTATCAAGTTCATAGCAAAGTCATATATCTCAAATTTTAACATAATTCTTTTTCTTCCTCACAGCTCCCGAAGTAATCGACAATGAGCGATACACTTACAGCCCGGACTGGTTTAGCTTCGGCTGCCTCCTCTACGAAATGTTAGAGGGTCAGGCCCCATTCCGAGCCCGGAAAGAGAAGGTAAAGCGCGAGGAGGTCGACAGACGCGTGAAAACCGAACAGGAAAAGTACTCCAACAAGTTCAGCGAAGAAGCGAAATCTCTGTGCCAACAGTTGCTTGCGAAGAGCCCGCACCAGCGGCTGGGCGGTAAGGCGGGACGAGGGGGCGCTTGCCTCGTGAAGCAACATCCTTTTTTCTATCCTCATATCAATTGGAGGCGGCTGGAGGCGGGGATGATCGATCCTCCTTTCGTTCCAGATGTAAGTCCCATTGATCAGTATTTCATTTCTGTTTTGTGGCACATGATAACTATTAATGTTGTGTTATAGTAATACCTTTTACAGTGTTTTCTAGTTTTATATTAGACGTTTGCTAACACTTTTTTGAAAGTATATTCTAAATTCAATCGTTGCTTCACTGAAGTTTCGGTTCGGTGAAGTAAAAAGTCAAATAATGAAAATTATAATATAAATATCTTAGCATGAAATGAACCGAATATTAATATGAAGGATTTCACATTTTTTCTATTCAGTTTTTCTCTCATTTATCTCTACATACCACAAATTCACTCTTTCTTGAAAATCATATTGCTAAATTTCAATAATTTTACTCAGCTTTGCCCTAAAAGATAACATCAAAGAAGGTGGCAATAATCATATTTTCTGTAGCCATAAATTTGACACATTTATGACTAGTTTAGTTTTATAATATTGCCAAAAGAACAATAAAAAAGTCGCTTGTAAAAGTGTCATTCAGTTTCATGAACAATTGTCTTTATAATGGTATGTTTTTTTTCTGGAAATGATACAATTTTGAGGAAATTAATCAAGTTTTGTATGGAAAGAAATAGAAGTGGCAGATAATTGAAATAAAAAAGTATCGTTTTTTCAATTTTTATTATGTTGTTTCAAAGGTTTTGTCCTTTTTAATGTCATGTCCCAACTTTTCCGCTTAATAATGTATGATTTTGTTAAGCGATTTCAGCCAATTTTTCTCTACAAATTGAAATTGAACCAAAGGGCTGCTGGAACAGCCCAAAAAATTAACCAGGCTTTTGGCAATGATGTAACCAGGGTGACCACATACGGTAGTATTCTACTTTTTCGGCATATTTTCAACACAAATTGAAAAATTGCAGTAGATGAATTTTCGCCAGTAGATTTGGATAAGATGCCTTGGCAATGGAATTTTTATTTCAACGACATCTACAGCAAATGACATGAATTCATTGTTTCTAAGTTCTGCCCGCTTCAATACACAGAACACAAAATGGATACAGATAATAAAACATCCATTTCCCGATTGCTTGTTACTGTTTTCTGAATACCTCCGAATAAAGGAAGAAGAAGAAGAAGATAATAATACATAACCCCATTTCACTTTTCGTTTTCAGACTTTCAACGAATTGAAAGTTTAATTTCAAACATGGAAACATTTCTGTTTTTGAATCTTGAAATGTAATGCTTGAAATAGTCCCAGTGTTCAAAATAACCAACTAGAAAGTAACTTGATATTTCAAGTACTAGACCACGCCCATTGGCCATAACCGTAAGAAAGCCAAGTCCTCCTAGATTCAGTGATGCTATTCAAATGTCTTCACAAGCGCCACCTAGTGGTCAAAAACTCAAATTTTCACCATGCTGGTGCTCTTCGAACTTCAAGTCAAAGAGTACACCACTTCAAATAAATTGCAGTGGATTTCAATAGATTTTCGATAGCACCATAGATAGATTTCTCAAATAAAATGTGGTCACGCTGTATGAAACCTCGTTCCGGAGATTTTAGCTTTGAATATGAGACCCGAAATGGTAGACCTACAGTAATCCAGGACGAGGATTTGAGAACCCTGGTGGAGACTGACCCGTTACAAACGACGCGTGGGATGGAGGTAGAACTGAGCATCAGCTCCCATGCGGTTTCTGATGGTGTAAAACGTTAAGCCCGAAAAGTGGGTTCTACAGAATTTGTCACGTTTCGAAATCTGTTTTTCTTCTCTCGCCAACCGACTATCATCTTTTCAAGTACATCGATAAATTTCTCAGCGGTAGAACCTTCGCCAATTAGGACTAGGCAAAAAACGGACTTCGTCGACTCCATCGAGTCCCAAGCACACAATTTTTATGCGAACAGAATTAATCATTATGTGTTTGAAGGTGGTTGACAATGTTTCATGGTTTATTTCATTAGTTCGGACTTCCAATACACTAGACCGTGCTTTCGGGCTCTGTAATACAAAGGAAGGTCTCGAAAAGGAACTAGGCGTCTTCAAAAATGACCTTCAACGAAATGGTTACTCCAAAGTGATGGTGGAACAGGCTTTAGCTAAAAGAAGACAGAGAAGCCGCCACAACCAGTACTTGTACTTCCCTACATCAGAGGATTGTCGGAAAGGATAGGAAGGATCGGGTTCAAGTATAACATCGGAACCTATTTCAGCTCTGGGAACACTGGAACACTATTCGTAGCAGCCTCGCGAAAACCAGGCCACCAAACGCAGACTATAATTCCAAGAATTGCATTTACCGGATACCCTGCGAGGCCATTGAAAGTTTGCATTGCCGAGCACAAGAATCACACAGCGAGGAGAAACCAGCAAATCAGTAATAGCAGAGCATGTTTGGACTCAACAACATAACATCAAGTGGGCTCAAGCTAAAATCATCCATGAGGAGGAACACTGGTTTAGGAAAAAATTCAAAGAAGCTGCATGTATGTTGTCCAACAAAGCATTTAGCCAAGCTAGTGTAGAGATACGCAACATATGGAAACCTCTAATCAAGCGGAACACGACCAAGTCCCGCCAGACTGTCAGCTTGCACTAAAACCGATGAAGAGGAGAGAGGGAAGATAGATGAAAGCACTCGAATGACCTATAAATAGTCAGATCTCTGAGGAATAAGTCCAGTTATCACCCGAAGACGATTGTGGATACTATCAGTCGAAACGTCGTGAAGTAACTTGATTCTTTCAGGGATTTCAAATCAATGCATATCATATTAGATGTCAATGATTCAAATGGAGCTTTTTTTGACTAAATTAAATAAGTATCCACTGAGATATCACAGTTGAAAGTAGACTGTGTCAAAACTTTTGAAACAGCCTAATATTACCGGAATTGAATTCCTTAGATTTGATACCCTTAAACAATATCTGACGTACATTTTTTGATCCTTGTCAATTTTCCATCTTCATTATGCCCATAATTTCAACTTTTTTTTTCAACAGCCTCACGCAGTGTACGCAAAGGACGTGCTAGACATTGAACAATTTTCGACAGTGAAAGGTGTAAATATAGACGAAAGTGATGCGACTTTTTATAGTAAGTTCAACACGGGTTGTGTGTCGATACCTTGGCAAACGGAAATGATTGAGACGGACTGTTTTCGGCAGTTGAATGTGTTCGGCCCCAACGGTTCCAGAACGCCCGACCTAGTTTTACAACCTATAGCAATTTCAGAAAATGAAGGCTGTTTTCCATTTAGGCGGAAGGTAAGAAGTTTTTTGTTTTCAATTGTCTGGATTGGTAAACTCAAACTGTGGGGTATTTGCATTACACCTTCAGAAGCCAAACTAGAGTGAAGTCAGTGGATGTTTACACATGCTCATCAATTTGTACATTCAAAAAAAGTCAACAAACTATTGAAAACGGAATGAAGTGGCTACTTCTCCGAACAACCTAACCTAATCCCATGTCATGATTTTTGAACAATTTCATGAGATTTTTCAACACTGTATTGAATTTCGTAAACCATATTCCGTATCGAAGCTCTGGCATCTTGAATATTCTAGTATTCGAAGCATCAGACAGAATCATTCATGATTTTGAGGTTAAAATTTGTGTTTATGAGGGTCTCCATGATTGATCATAACTTGAAACAAATGAACTGAGGAAGCTCATATATGAAGTTCATCAGTTACGAGATATTCTTTTTGAAAACCTACTAATATTAATTAACAAATCACTTGCTGATTAACTATTTCGTAATGGCATTTCAGTATAGGTTAGAATGTAAACCAAGTATTTCAAAGACGATTCAATGGAGTATTGTCGTTATTTCCCTGTGTATATATTTTGTTTTCGAACCAAATGTTATATCTATTTTTCTCTCTTGTTTCAGAAAAAGCAACTGCCTCGGACTCAACCGATACCGATCAACCCTACCCTGTTACCTCAACTGTTGGAGAGATGATGACTTACTTAACCCCTCTCGATATGTGTCATTCTCTCTTTCTTCATCTCATCCCCCGTCTTCCCCTCTCACACAAGCGCAAATGCGGATCATGCTCCTCAATGCAGAATCGCTCCGGTGTATGTAATTTTTAGTGTTAGAATTGCGCAAGAGTTCCAAAAACGTATTGACATGACGGTTCTTTGGTTTATGTAATGTGTTATTCCTAGTACGTAGTTTTTTTGTGAGGTATTTCTTTTTTGGGCCATACTTTCTTCGTAACTCTTGAGATATCAAAACAATTCTGACTTTGAAAGAGTCGGTTTCACTGATTCAATATATTTTATTATACAGGAGTACCCAAATTTCTGTTGAAGCTTGGGGGATCTTGTAAGAGGTAGAAAAAGTACCTACTATTAAATGATAAAAAAAATCGACTCTTACCTTTTTGGTTCTGAAATTGAATGGAAAAAACGGAAAATTTTTCAATACTACTTTTTATTGCATCTCCTTCACTTACAGAGATGTTGGAAATCATTTTCGCTCAATAAGAACTATCATAACTACCAGAATATCAGAATTTTCATAAATAATATCGCCCAACTTGACCTACCATCCTTTTGAAGAAAAAAAAATATTGGGAATTAAATTTAAATCTGTTTCGAAATCCGTTCTTCCGTTAACCAGATTAACGAGGTCATACCTTTCGACGTGCGATGCCTAGCATGGGTATCACAGCTAATTTTTTTGATTCAGGCGTCTTGGAACATCCAGAGGTTTATGAAAATCTTCAGCATTCATGTTACGTCTCCTATTCTAGCACAATATACCAAAAGACCATTGAAGCATATGAAAACAATTTCAATCGACATTACAGATAAAATGGGCTGGTATTGACTTCATCCTGTAAATAGATTTGAGACGGAATGTAGGATTTTGTTTGAAAAATACACCAAATGAAACATATCAGCAAAAAAGATATTCAATTTAATTTTTCCAGTATTCTCGTATCTAAAATGATGAAAGTTGTATATTCCAGATATCAAAAATGAAAATTTGATACTGAAAAAGTAGAATTAGGAATCCACTTTCGGTGGTATTTTTTATTCCCTTGAATTTTTCGAATAACGTTGAAAATTTATCAGGATCTTAGGTTGAATTCATTTGCAGGAAGTCGACATCAACTTATTTTTTGCAAACACAGATATTTTTCACATTTGTAGTCACTTAACAACGTGGTACCTAAACATAAGTTTTTTCAAACTTCTTGATTTCAATGATAAAAACCTCATTGGAAATAGATCCTTGGAATACCAACACATTTCACTTATTTCGTAGTTCATTTCTTGAATATACGGAAGTGCAAAAGTGCCACATTATATTATTATTCGTTTCTTGGAAATTACGACTTTGAAACTCGATATTTCTACGTTACTCTTGACTGAAAGACATGCCTGAAGAAGCTACTGTACCCCGAAATCTGTTTTGTGCTTTTGTAAAACTGTTTAGTGAAAATCTCACAATAAAGCGTTTCTGAAATATATTTTCAAACTCTAAACATCGTCATTGAAGACATTAAGTGCGATATATGAGAATTTGTTGAAACTTCAAGAAAAGGACGATTGACATTGCCGTACGCTGAAGTTCGATCTATCATCTTCAAAAACAGATAAATTGTTAAGGAACACGTTTTTGAAACTCTTGCACTCGATTAAGCACAAGCAACATCATGGTAGATGACATTTTTTCACATTTTTTTTACGATATACCAAATGATTTTTACAAATTCAATTATGTGATGTTATACTTATATACCTCTTTGAAAGAAGTGAGATTATTTTATAGATCATCTGCTATGATGGATAACAGTTAGTTACGGGTTTAGAAGATCACACAAAAGTAGGGTGTGATGGCCGACTTTGTACAATCTGGATTTTTTGTGGCTCCGTTCGGTTTGCTGGATAATTTTTGGTCGGAACGTGTGAATTCGGCCAGTACACAAAAATGAATGTCGGTTTCTCATTCCACAATCACAATTTACTGTAAACAGAATATCTAGAATTGATGTATTTGAAAAAAGACCATTATATTGTTTAAATACGAAAGATTTGTTTTTTTTTCAGGCCTAATTTCCAGTTACAAGATACAGAACAGTTGGCTCAACAATATAATTTTTTATTGATGAACTTTGAAGAGCTAGGCAGGATTTTTGATGAATCTGTGCTCATATTTCATATACATACTAAAATTTTAGTTTTTTCCGAAAATATTCTCATCATATATTCCTTGTACAGCAGGCTCAATTGATGGAAACTTCAATTGCATAATTTTAAAAATTCAGCTTGTAAGCAAATGCTCTTCTGCATCTGGATAATAATTTGACGCTATGTACTGGTACAGATAAGAAATTGGGCATGTTTGTCAAATTTGTTAACTCCATTCACTCATCAATTAAATTCACCTCTGAAATAGAGGTAAATAATTCAATGAATTTCTTACATGTGACTATTACTGAAAATTATAAACATGATTTTGCAATTTTCCTCAGACCTTCTTGTATGGACATTGTCTTACATAATTCCTTGACACAAACCTTACAACAAAAAGTAACAGCTTCAAATTGTATGCTCCATAGACTCTTGAATATTCAATTGTCTAAAAATGATTTCCAGAAGAAGCTGAATTTTTTCAAGCAAATCGCTGTATACAACTCGAAGTGGATATTATCGACTCCATTCTTTCCAGTTCTGGTTTCCCTAGAGTTATCTACATCAAAGTATTTAATGTTTTTTTTTTAACTAGATGTTAGTTCTCAAGAGTTTTCTTTTGGTCGGAACAATTATTTGTTGACAATTTCTACCCATTTTTTCCATCTATCAACGTTTTTCAGTATCTCATAACGAGATATTCCAACAGTAATTAAATCAAAACAAATAATTCAAAATTATTCAACAGCAGGAAATCGACATTACGACTTCCTAAACAGAACGCCATCTATGAGGTCTTCGGAAAACTGAATCACTTTATCCAAAATGAGGTTTTGTGTTTTCCGTCGATGGCTTCTTCGAAAAAAAATCTTTGTATTTATTTCTTAAGACGCAGCCATGCCAAGTGGCTGTCATAATTGCCATAAAAAAGATCTTCATTGCGAATCGTAGAATCGTAGAATATATAGATAATACATTTCCAGCGGCATCTTTCAACTATTCACATTGGTTCAAGATGTGGATGCCTGAAATTATCAATTTCATCTTTTCCAATTATATTGTTTCTGGAAACTATTGAAAGTTTTAACAATTTTGTCTCGTGTTCAAAAAACTGGCAGAAAACAGAATATTTCAACTTGTAAAGAACTCTATACTCCAAATACTTTAGGGCTCCATCAAGTCTAGATTCGACACTGTCTGATTCGGACGAAAAAATCTAAGAAGAAAAATCACATAATGATCACATCAAGTGATTTAATACTTTAGCTACTGTTAAAGAGATGGCGCCCCATGGCCATAAAAGATAGGACCAATTATTAATACAAAGACGTAAATATACCGAGATTTATAAAATATAAGGTCTCCTTATTCGGGCGGTATATTTGAATATTGAAACTTCCCTTCGCACACTGATTTATGTTTATGCTATCAAAATAATCATAGATCATTGGGAGTATTCAAAAACAGTAGAAAAAGGTATGTTGTTAACACACAAATCACCAGATAAATATCCTAATGGATATCCAAATCAAGTCGGATTATCCTTGGACATAAAGTGGATGTCCAGTGGACATGGAATTGAAATCCTTCGATGGATATACTAAGGACATCCGTAAAAAGTCCAAATGATGTACGATATCTTATGAACGTCCAGGTTGGTACATTTCAGATGTTCATAAGATATCATTTGAACATGAATCGTGCGTCCAATGAATATCCAAGTCCGTGCTGACTGGGAATAACTGAAAAATAATTTCAAATTGCTTCAAACGTGTTTAATAAGTCAACATGATATTTCTTTATTTTATACACTAAAATAATTCAATCTCTTATGGGTCGCAAAGAAATACAGGGATGATAAAAAACTGGTGCAGGCATAAAACATCATAGCTTTCGAGAAAGGAAACTGTATAGATAAGGACAAGATGAGTGTCTCAAAAGCATCTTTGGATGTCACAATAATGTGACGCTATACGATAGCGTTGCAATACTGAGACACCCAAAGATGCTATTGATGAAAACCTCACATCAAGGTGTGTGTACAACTATGTACCAAAATTATAGAGAAAAACTGATGAACGATATTAATAAGGCATGATGAGTGAACAAGAGTGTTTTGAGGAGACTTCATAATGATTTAAAGAGAAATTTTGTTTGGAGCTTACATAGTACTCTGCATATGAGGAATGCTCTCAGCAAATACGTACATCTGAAAAATTTTAGTTGAATATTTAGTGCAGTTTGTACCATTCATTAAAGAATGGTGCATGGCTATATACTGATACATCGCATGTGAATACTCAAATCATTTTAGAAAAAGACACATGGTTTGGCCTCAAAAAATCCCAGACATGAATCCAATGGAGCATTTATGAAATGCACTTCAAAGATACACTGCTCTAGGCTCCTTTTGAGGACAGGAACATAATAAGGCACTTCAAGTTACGTGTCATATTGCTAAAGGATTATTGTATAGAATGTACAAAAAATTCAATGCAGTAGAAGTATTATCTTGAAAGTTATGATGTTTTGAAATGTAACAAAATTTTGGTTGCACCGGTTTTTTGACAATGAGAGTAGCAGAAATGGTATCAAAAATATGGTCTTGCAGATAATGATAGGTATGATACCATATGATAGCTATGAATGGTGCTTCAGTTCCGTTGATGGTCATTCAATGAAACCCAAGTAATACTAACTCACAATACTAAAAAAAATCTCTTCATTATTCCTCAAGGGCGCTGAACAACGCAGTTCGTGACAGTTCCATACGTCTCGGAGTACAAAAAGTCGCAAACAGCGGCATTATTCTCGAAAGACATCTCCGGCACCTTGAACTCCGGATTAACAGCCACCTTCATGGTATACTTGCCTGGCTCAAGGTCCGTAATGTCTACCCATTGACAGTCAACGGTGTATTTGTATATATCTGAACAGTTCACAGATATTCCCTGATCACCGTAGTTGACGCAAGCGAATACAGGTTTAACGCCAGGAAGGCACTGGTTGTCTTCTAGACAGAAGGAGGCTTTGTGGCCCTCTGCCACTCTCTGGCCTTTGTTGTTGAAAATGTCGAAAGTGGCGAAAACTTCCATGCTATGATAGTGCCTGAAACAAAAAGGGAGCCAAGGTGAGAAAGTATAGTATCAACAAGTAATTAAAGGTAAAACTAGAATCTTTGGCGTAGAAATGCCCAAAACAAGCACTTTTCTAAACACCAGAACGGCAATACTCTTCTCGACGCGCGTCTTCAAGAGATGAAATGAAATGTCTACTTCACCTCCTGAAATGTCCACTTTTTTCAATATCAAAACATCTAATTATCCCTTAATATACCATCCGTTCTTCATATCCATTGAAAAATACCATTTAATGGTTACTTTTTTTTAGTAGTAATCTTTATTATAGGATACATCCTAATCTTACAAGACATAATAACTAATTAACAATTTAAATTTCCACCGTGCCAAAAATATTAATAAAATTCAAATCTGAATATAGATAATAACAATAATGAAGATAAAGTAAATAAAAAGATAATAATAAAAAATATACAATTCATAAGACCCAATGTTGAAAACCAATATTGATATAGTAACTATATATAATATACATATTTTCCAACTAACTAACGCTCTAGGTATTCCAATAATTTACTTTCAAACCCTGTTACAGTATTTTCCTCTTTAATGGCATTTGGTAAATTGTTAAATTCCCGTAGTCCCTTGTAGAATAAGTTTTTCGTTCCGCCACCAGTGTGAGTTCTATATATATGAAAATTATTATAAGATCTTGTCTCATGTTCATGTATTTGATTATTAAAAACCAAAAATTCATTAAAATATGTTGGTTGGAGACTTTTGGTTATTTTAAATATAAAAACCATTGTTAAAAAGAATAATCGATTTGAAATCGACAGCCATTGTAGTATATTTAACATGTGATCAATGGAAGTATAACGACTGCATCTTAACATAATTCTCATGCCCCTATTTTGGAGTTTTTGAAATTGGGAAAGCCTATTTTGGTTTATTAAATGCATTAAAGTTGGACAGTACTCAAAATGAGGTTTAATTATACAATTATATGTTAATATTTCGGAGTTAATAGTCAAATTATTTGTTATCGTAGAAAAAAAATATAATTTTTTTTTAATTTTTTTCATAACGTATTCAGCATGACTGTTCAAACTCAAAGTGTTATCTACAATAACTCCCAGATACTTTATTTCAGACACATATTCCAAGGTAGTGTTACCAATTTCAATTTTTATTTCATTATAATCAATAGAGTTCAGTTTATATTTAGTTTTTATCACCATAGCTTTTGTTTTATCTGCATTCAATTTTAATTTATTCATATGTAAATATTTTTCGATGTTCTTCATAGAACCTTTGAGAGTATCTACAGCATCATTGAGTTCTGTATTCGAAGTATAAACTAATGTATCGTCTGCAAACAGATTAAGTTCATGTAGCCCAGGAACATAATGAATATCATTTACGTATATAATAAATTAAAAAAAAATACTGATGAAAAGACAATTTGTCACAAGAAGCAGAAAAAATTCTACCGAAAACCACCTTCAAAGTTTGTTCTCCATCAGCGCCACAGAAGAAATTTAAAATACTAAGTTTGGTAGTAAAAAAGAAGTCGATGAAATACCTAATTTTGATGTGAATTTTCTTAGAATCTACAGAGTGACTTGTGACTTCAGAGTATACCCAAAGTGAAGTTAGTTCAATCCTACATCCTAATCGATAATCCGTTAGTCAAAGTGTGATATGAATGGAAATTCAGAGAATATGAATATACATCCAAGCATCTGATGGTTGTGTTCAATGTTGAATAAATAAAAATTTTCAGATTGAAAATTCAAAGTATTCATTTTTCCCAGCTGACCTAAACAAAAGCATTCAGTAAAAACATGTCGGAAAACAACTGCTTCTCTTTATAAAGCTCCCGTGAGACAAATAAAAAAAGTGTTTTTTTCAATGTGTGACAGGAAACAAGAAGCAACTAAATGACCTGCAAGGTTACTCCCCAAATAGCCACAATGGTGTGTTAATTGAGCTGTTATTTGTTTGTATGATTATAATTATTCTTTTTTATGAATAAAGTCATTATTATTATTATTATTCAATCTAGTATTTGTATACTTCTTGGTCAACATTTAATTTAGTTGCAACATCAATGTTTTCGCTGACTCCTCATTCTGAATATTTTCATGTGTTAGAGTTTTAGCAAAGAAATTGTTCGAATTCTAGCAAATCTATTTTTTATCTAATGCAATCATCATTATATAGAATTACTGTACAAAAACAGTAGGTCCTCAAACATTTATAACGAGTGATTTTTAATTTTTTTATGATAATTACATTAACTCCATGCTGAAAAGTTGTATACATATAATTTCATTATTTATTAATCATTATTTCATTATTCAATTGAGTTCGACAGAAATTTGCAAAACCTGCTTTGTTTCCCGAGACCGTGAAACAAAATTTGAGATTTCCAAAAAAATACTCGTTTCTTCTTCAAGAGGCTTTATATGGCTGTGCCACTAAATGGCTTGAGTATGTTTTCTGAAAGAAAACGAAAGAAGATAAATATCGTTGTAAATTATCCCCTGAGAAAAATAACGCAGGCTGCCGCTGGTCTTCGTCGATAAACTATGCTTGATGGTCGCGCTCAACTCTATTTGTGTTTCTTGGTCGTTCTAGGTGTCGCGTCGCTTCGAAAATATTCCTCTCGGTTTCCAAAGACTTCCATTGGTATATATAAGCACTACCCAAAGACAAAGGAGGCTAGTCTAGTTGAAAGGGTGATACGAAGTGAGGTGATAAAGCGATATACATTTGAGTATTAGTCTGAAGTTTTTGTGTCGTGTTGACAGTGTATACAGTGTGGTCAACTGTTGTCAAACCTTCGAGAAAAACGTAACAATATCCGTTTTATCATAACATCAACGTATTCAGGGCAATCCAGGAGTTGGTTGAATACTTACATGTGACACATATGCCACTCCCAAAGATGCTTCGGGATAGCCGGCCTGAAGTCGGCGGTACCCGCGTTGAAAATCTTCGCCGTGAACCTGAGCAACCTCCTGGTTTCCAGATGCCACGCCGGGTTCTCCTTCTGGATTTCGTAAGCCGTCGAAGCGACGCAGTTCTCCTCCATGGCGCACTGCAGGAAGAACATCTGCTTGTCGTCCAAGTGGGCTGAAGACATCAGTTCCATGTGGTCGATGATGAGATCAGCCATCGAATGGGTACAGGAAACTGCAGCGACATCTTTACTAGCGCAGTGCCCTGTAGCGTGCTGATCGTGCCTACAATGGGAAAGGGAGCTTTCGGTGCCCAGGCATTTGACGCCTCCAAGGCTGTTTTTGGTGAGGTTGCCACCGAAGTAGTCCGTTTGCATTGCGTCGCTGGCGTACCCTTCAACAAGAGAACAAATCATATCGTGATCACTGAATACAGTGATGTTTTTTATCATTCATTAGCCCCCTCTCACCTCTTGGTGATACATGGTAAGGGTTAAAACTAACCTCACTCCCACACCCAAAATCCCATGTTATTTTGGGTGTGGGAGGGGAGGTTATAGTACCTACAAAGAATCTTGAAATTTTTCCTTTCTTATACTCTGCAAAAAGGTCTATTATACAGATCACCTAGTTCACACATTGTTCAAATGAAAAACGTACGAGGTTACGGTGTATACATGTATTCGGCGCCGAAATAACAAAATGTAACTGGCAAGCCGAGCCGGGCGGTCGTCGTGGTGCGCGGCGATTTAGTTTGTTGCCTGGCAACGGCGAGTCAAAGTTACCTCGCACGTAGCTTTTCGGTTTGGAAATCGCGCGATTCACGAAAAAATAAATACACTTGATATCTTACTACAGTCCCCCCCCTTCTTTCAAGCCTCACGTGATTAATGGACGGCCCCTAAATATTTGAGTGAGTTAAGCACACCAGTGTCATAACGGAGGCCGCGTTAGCGGAGGCGAAAGTACAAAGTTTGGCATCTACTTCAAAATAATATCAGTATCATCATTACATGTATTGTTACTCATAATTTTGAATACAAGCAATTGTATTTCGAATCAATACTACTATTCAATGTAATCGTTATGAAATGGCACAATATATCAGACTTACAAAGCTGACATAAATAACTTATGTTATTTATGCCAGCTGTCATATCTGAATTTATCGGTTGCAAATGAGTTGTAAAACTCAAATCTTTCTAACAAAAAATAATATTTTCACGAAGCATTGGGAATAACTAGCAAAATGTATCATTGAAGTTGACGTTCAAGGGGGTTATATTTGCTTCGTCGAGATTCAAATTTCATGTCATATAAAACGGAATATTGATCTTCACTAGTAATTTTGACAGCGTTTTCAAACAGAAATTTTCAAAAACGAGTCGGAGGTGAAGCTACTTTTGAGTTATTCCTGTGGTATAGTCCAATCCTGCATATTATATGTTTGGCAAATCACACACTATCACAGATGTCATGGTGTATTTGTCGGCTTACCTTTAGTCCTAGTTGCATGTCAGTTGTCATTCTGTTATGTGTGCGAGTTGTGAGTTAATGTGATTTGGAAAAATTATCAAAATAAAAGGATAGAAAGGTTAAGCGGAACTAATTTTTATAATAAGAAAAAGCTATCATCTTCAAAAATACAACAATTTCAATAACTCGCTATTTTTACTACCAAAATTATTGAAATATTCATTTATTCAATAGTCCAGATGTTTTTTTTCACGAGTAGCTCAGATTAAACACAAGCTATTGTGTTCAATAGCTATATGTTGAAGTTTTTTTTTAAAAAAAAGCTTCCAGAATAACCTTCTTTTTTAACCCCATAGGTTAAATCCTACTATCAATTATGATGAACAGCTACCTCTTCTTGGATAAGTCGCTTGGGTTAGTAGACTAAATTAAAACAATAGGTAATGAACAAAAAATATTTGAATGTGAACCTACCCATGTTTAAAGATTTACAAACAACCAGAGCTTCGAAAAGTGACCACCCATCTCCACAAATAACTTCCCAATTGTCTCCAGTTTTTATTTCCACTCTTCCCTCTGTTTTAATTCTTCCATTTCGCAGACGAATCTTTAGGTTTTCTGGCAGGGACACCCTGAAATGAAAAATAGGACAATCGCTTTATTGGTTATTAATAATAATAACGTATCAAACATGCATTATTATCCCCAAAAAGAATTCCCACTTCTTGATTTCCGCATTGAGTGGCTAAAAAATCATTTCGCGAATTACTTCTGAATAACAACGCTCGAAAAAGCTATTATAATAGCGAAACACGTGTTGGGATTTTTGTAAAACCCTTTATAGCGAAAATCATACAAATAATTGTATTAATTAGTTTCAAAATGGATTTTCATCAAGTATCGGTCAGATCTATTCAATTATTTTTATGCATGTGTACTATTGCAGGTATTGGTCCTCTTATTATAAATCACTTTCTTAAGATTACAATGAAAAATCATAAATCACGCTAAAGACAGCATTTCACTACCGTGGTTACTGATCACCCTAAAATAGAACAGAAGATGGTTGAAGAAAGTCGTGGATTTTGGAACGAGACTTATTCAATAGTTATTGTTTTAATGAATTCTGAATTTTTTGGTGGTCCAATTATTTACAAAAACTCAATTTTGCAGTTTTGCCAAAGTTCCGAACAAAATTTTCATATATTGATATTCTTGTTCTTATCGTGATGTACTACCACAAGGTTTTTCGGTCCCTTATTCATAATTGATATAAAATACTTTCATACAATGGCAAAACATGGAGAAAACAACATAAACCATGCTGTATACAGCATTTTTTCATCGTGGATCCATCATAATCACTCTAAAATAGGAAGAAACAGGGTTGAAGAGAGTTGTGAAGAATATTTGGTGGCATAGGGACTGAGAATATTGATTATTCTTGAGGTTTTGAACGATTCAACAACAAGCACAAGAATCTTTAAGACAAAAGAATAGCAACGGAAATAAAATATATTCCACAAAAGGGGGTATAGAAGGCATGATCAGTTGAATAAAAAAACAAAGTTAGGACATTGAAATCATTGAAACATATACAGGAATTATAAAAATATTATTTATATATTATTTCAAAACAAACTTCCAAACGATCTGGAGGAACCAAATATTTACGGAACTTGTGTATATGACTTACTGATTCTATTTACAAGCCATTAACATATTGTCACTGAATTGTTTATCAAAATGTTCCCTTACATTTTTGGTTTCAAAACTTCCAAACTGGTTACTTTCGCTTCTTCTTCAGGTTCATCACAAATAACCCCGGCAGATTCGGTGGAAGTGCAATCATTTTGTCCCCAACCATCGAATCGGCACTGAGAAATTTCTTCTTCGGTACCGTCGCAATAGATATTATCCATCCAAAATCGTCCTGAAGTGTGAAAATGATTTGTTTTACTTGCTTAATTCCTCACCTCATAATTTTCGTTCAAGAGAAAAAGCGGAAGCTTTGGAACAACTCTGTTTCATTTGTTTCTAGTAGCTGACAGCTAGCCCAAAATAAATTCTAGTTTCTTTCAAATAAATGTACTTACTCTTAGCGGGACCAAAATATGAATTTGCCGTTGGTTGGGCTTTTTCTGGGGGATACCCAAGTTGCTTACAAATAATTCTCGCTTCAGTAACATCCCATTCATCATCACATATTGCTCCCCAACTTCCATCATGAAGTATTTCCACATTACCTGCAGTGAAGTTTTGTTTAATGACAACTGAAGAACAGTGTAGTTAAAAAAATCATTCTATGATTCTAAAAACAGTTTCAAGTGAAAAATGATTGCACTTATTCAGAAAATAACCGGATCTTTCTTTGATTTGTATATAGGCCAAATAGGTAAAGCCTTTCGTAAATGTGAAAAACAACCTAAGCGACATGTATCTTAATAGAATAGGGATAGAAAATACAACTTGTACATGAAAAAATCTGAAACTTTCTTGAAACCATTAAGATTGATAGATTCAAAATAAAATTCAAATAAAATCTCTGATATGAATTTAAATACACACAAAAGGTATTATTGGGTAATAAGATGTGCACAATCTTTATAAACTGGTGTTATCTGAGTACATGATGATTTATCGTTATTGATAGCATACAAAACCAGAGACAGAAAACACTGTGAAAACACATTAAAAATATTTCCAAAGAGCACTGCTATAATGTAATACTGCCTATTTTATACACAAATAACAAATATTATCAAGAAACACTAAAACGATTTACCGAAATATTTTTCAGTCCCGGTCTGTCACGGCATCCCGTCCGAATAATTAAATAAAAAAACAAACGCAGTCATACACTAACGGAGACCAACTGGAGGCTAGCCTCCTCTGACACTATAATTTCTGCAACTGAAATTACAAATCGGGACGTATGTCGCCGGTTGGATCGGTCTCGTGGAGCCTGTGTTTTTTAAAGCGGTCGGAGGCTTGGCTCCCTTGCAACGTATGGCATTTATTGTTTCGGGTTGATGGTTTATTCGTTATTCGTTCATGGGCGGTGCGTTTGAATTTTGTTGATGCAGGATACAGTGTGGTACGTACTACGTAGTGAGTGATAGTGTTTTTCCGGGCATATTATGTATTCATATTAAAAATTAATGGTGAAGTAATGATACCTAAGCATTTTTAGAAAAAAATAATCATAATTTTTTGTCAATATCTTTTAATTTATTGCGATGAATAGCCTCAAATTTTATGGGGAGACTAAGCCTCCCTTGCCTCCTCTGACGAGCCGCCGCTGTTCGGGAGTAAAGAAAATTTTAGGAAGTAGTAAGTGATTATCGGAAATACGAATCCATTCCAATTGCCTTTGTATGCTATTAGCTTTGCATTGGTTAATATCGACCCGTGAGTTCTCAAAGATATCCCTTCATTCACATATGACAAGATTTTACCAACTCCGTGTATTTACCTTATACAACCTTTGCTTCATTATTCAACATTTTAGAGATAGAAATTAGTATGCCCATACCCCGTGCTTGGGCTACCTATCGGACACATCCCCAGGTGGCGGCCAGGGGAATGACCAGGAGGCCAATGTGGCCTTACGGATGGGGTCGCCGGACTCCTGGTCAGTGACAGAAATAAGTAGGGTGAAAAGAACTGAAATCCTCCAAAAGCCTTTGCAAAACACGACACCGTGGACCAGCCTACCCAAGCTAAGGTGTGAGGAATCGTGCCGACAGCTGAATGGCCGCAGGGTGATATGCGGTCACAAACTATCCCCTTGGAACTGGGCAAGGGCACTTCCTGCGGCGGGCGCCAAGAGCTCCGACTTGAATAAAGGCAAGGAACCAATAAAGGCAAGAAGGTTGAAGAAGCCGCGCAACGACGGTAATATTGCTGCACCTTCCAAAACCTTCGCGGAGGGCACCGTGAGACACCTTAAGGTTGCCAAAGAGAGTGTGTGTTCGGCGAGTCTTGGCCTACACCTGCCAATATAAAGGAGATGTCTCCTAGAGACCTGTCCACCTTCCTGGAAAGGACAGGATGGACGATGACCTAGGAGGACAACTCTTCGGGAGGATGTACAATGGGTCACAAGTGGCCTAAGAGCTGTGAGTTTACACTCACCCTCCCTACTCTACAGATACCAGATAGTATGCTCATACATTCACAATAGCAAGAGAAGTCACACACAAGTGGTGTAGCAGCCTACAGTTGTTATACACACTTCAGTGACCTATTTATGTTTATTCACAATATTTTTAATAATACTGACCTCGTTTCATGTAATAATCATGTAATCCTGTTTATTTTATTGATTATTAGTGAATAAACATTATTATTATTATTATTATTATTATCATTCCATATATCTTCAAGCTCAATTTTGATATACTCGGAACACTTTCAGCATAGTTCTGCCTCCACTACCTTCTAAGGTTTCACAAAAATGAGTCAAGAGGAATGAGGTCCTGAGACTGAAGAAAACTTTTCATAGGGTCATAGAATTATATCCAATTATGATCGAATAATATTACCAGAAGTTAATGATCCACTCAAGAAACTGGTCAAAATATTCATGACTATATACTACTTAAGGGGTCATCATAAAAAATGAACCACTAATCCCTAATACAATTATTCTTCATCGAAGTTGATTCTGAAATGAACAAAGTTAATGTACTGAAAATTCACGTTATATCCACAGACAGAAAAGTCTTCTATCCGGATCTACTCCACTAAACGTCTGTAATTGCTTTGTTAATTATTTTCGATAGAATGTGAATAATCTCTTTTCATACTTCATTAATAAGAGAATCCAAATCTTGGCAAATCGACTAAGTTTTTGGATGAACTTGATCTTATACAAAGACACTTGGTGTTTTCAGCAGAATGAAGCACCTAGACATTATTAGAGATGGATAAATCCAAGTATTGTTCATTGCTCAATATCGTATAAATGGCCCTATTGTATGACAGCTCAGGTGACATGACCTTAACCCTCTTGACTTTTTCTCACGAGTTATTTGAGGGATCAATATTATAAGCAGTGCTTTGGAGAAGTCAACACCTTGTAACATTCATTATGAAAAACGTTAGAAACTATTAATAGTAGGACTATGGTGAAGATGAAATCCCTTTTTTTCACTTCACAAGAAATATTGTGATATGCTTTCATGGTAAAACATCATGGTTTACCTGAAAAAAATTAGCATACAGGGCTTTCCACTAGATACAAGTTATTTCGCCTAAGAAATCTAAAATGTTGTTTCGGTTACTCTGTTGTTGAACGACATAGTTGCTTCAGTAATAAAGTTACCAATGATGCATATTCGAGTTGGATCAGCCCGTATAAAATGATTCTCGGTAAAGTAATGACCGTTTCAGATTGTTTTACTCAATACTGAATTCAAATGTCTTACCTTCAAATTCTCCTCTGCCTCCAACCAATTTAATACCTCCATCTACCTTCTTTAGTCGTTTCAAATGCTTTTTGATGAGCTGGGCCCTTTTCCTCTTTATCTCCTCGGGACTGTCGCAAACAACGCATAAAGCAAAAACAAGCAATAAAACTAGCTTCGAAATATTTCTGCTTGTTGACATCTTGGCTAAATTATCTTTACTGAAGTATATCGCATAAAATATGCCGTGATCCAGTTCACACATGTGTGTAGATCTATTTTTTTCTCATCATCCCGAGATGATATAATATCATGACCTTTACTTCGTAATTAAGAATGTTATTAATAATCTATCGGGAATGTTGCATAAATTGTTGACGAATTTGGAATGTTGATTCATACATGCTATCTGTGGTGCCTCATCTGGCCAGATAAATGTAGGTTTTTAGGAAATTAATAAGGAATATGTAGGACAATAGATAAAGTACCCTAGATTGAGAACTTCGAAGTGCAATTTAGCGTCCTTTTGAGATAAAAGTGCGGTTACAATTTTTATAAGACCGCTCGAATGTTTTATCTAAATTGAAAAGTCAACCTTCAGAACAAAAGACTATTTTGTGTCTGAAAAAAACATCCACAATATGTCGCTCTAATATGCAGTACCTGTTGCTCATGAATCGCATCTTTTATTGAAATTGCTCTTAATTGCCCAAAAAGATAATCGATAGCTTGCTGTTGACGCCAACAGCATATGCAGGAATAACTTCAGTGAAGAATCCTGCACTGACACCCGTCGAATGTAATACAACGCCCTTCGTGGTATTAGCCAGGGGAATAGTTGTTTTCTTATAGGTGTCCATCAACCTACAGTGTTCTTTTAGATGATTAGTACAGTGTATGTGCGGGAACGCGCAACTGGTGGCCTTCCTGTCTGTGAGAGAACATTAGAAAGTTCGACATAAAAAATTTGGAACACTGTAATTTTTTTTGGTTGCAAGAAAACATCATGTTTATGCAACAATTTGTTTTTACTCGATACTTTGGATAATAAATATTGGGTATGTCATTCTTGTTCTTAGGCATTTAATGTTATAAATAATGTTGACCGCATACAGACAGATGAGGGGGATAGACATTATTTTAGTCAACCCTCGTTTTCAATTCAAGTGATGTAAATTCAATACTGAAACCCCATTTTATTTATTACATAAATTTCTATGATTCTTTCATTTGGTCGGGACGACCACCCATAGACCGGTTTCGGAGGGCTAGCCTTCTCGAAGACTTTTGGTGCGCTAATTTGAGCTCTCTTCCATTACATAAAGATGATATGACACTCGTAGGCATTTGAAAATGGAAGTCTCTCCCTTCAAAACTCAAAATCCATAGCACATATTAAGTACTTAATCTGTGCTATGGGTGTGAGGCTGGAGGCAACTACTGCAGTTTTTGGGCTCCGTCCTTGGACATATATCCAGTTTCAAGTAGTATTCATCTTATGAACTAGAGAGTGTGCTTTTCTGGGGACACCTGGGAGACCCCATTTTGTCACCCATTCTTCTGGCTAGTTCTGGGAGACATACACAACGAAGGTTAATAACTTTTCTTGCTCGAGGGCAATAGCCGAGCATCCACACTCAACTAATTTTACAAGATATTTAAAGTTTCATTTATTCGTTCTATTAAGAAATTGATATAAGGACATTATGTGATAGAATTGACAGATACATGATGAAAATCCATAACGTATTGTAATACTATATTGTAATACTCATACGATACGTATTGTAATACTCATTGGATAGTTTACAAAACCGCAGAACGAATTTCGATTCGATTCTGAAGCATTCTCATACTTATACTGAAAACATGAGTTGTATAGAGTATGAAAACACTTGAGGAAACTATTGTATTTCATGCGCAAATTATGTTCAATTCAGATTGGAATATCCTTGGGCATGAAATGGATATCCCTCAGATATTTCTCAGGGGACTTAGATGAATATTCTTTGACAGATATTCTGTGAACATTCATAGGATATCTGAAAAATTTACGATATGTTATGAACGTTCCATGAACATCCATAAGATATCAAAAATGTACGATGTTATAAAAGTCCAGGTTGGTATAATTTAGAGGTTAACGAGATGTCCTAAAGGCATAAATTGGATGTCCATTAGATATCCTGTCAATGTCCCGTCTGGTGAACATGAAATGTGCCTTCTTTAAGTTACTGCAAATCCGTTTGTAACCACGTCTGTAGTTTTTTTCTGTTGGATGTTTTTGGCTTCTGCACACTGAAACCATTTTCATTAACACTGAAGTTACGTGATTCAACGACGGGGTCGTCCAGTGATGCCAGCTGCTCAAAATCTTTTCCCCTAAGCCTATTTTAAAACCCCCTAAATTCAAACCTAGATACCCCAAATGAGTTTTTTTAGTAAATGAAAAATCTTATTAAATATTCAAAGTTGCTATATCATTCAACAGTTAACAAGTTAATAGATTAAGGGATAGTTCATGTTGGAACGAACATCGCATAAAAAGTGCGATTCAAAATGGCGTCGTGTTTATCGTAAAAAAGTTGAAAAAATTTAACTTTCTTGCGATTTCCGCAAAATTTTATACGTCAACATACAATGGGGTTATATTGCTATTTTATTTGACTGTCGTTTTTTAAACCCATACATCGAAATTGAATCCGAAATAAACGAAAGTGTCAGGTTGTTCAAATTATATCAACTTTACCGTATATATAAAGCTTCATTGAGAAAACCCCGTCGTTATGGCGTGAGAAATATTCTCAAAAACAGAAGAAAATATGGAGAATATCACAACCTTGTGACTGAAATGAGAATTAGTGATCCAGAGAAATATTTCAACTATTTATGGCTGACTCTCCCATTATTCAATGAATTTTTGAATTTGGTTGGCCCTTCATTAAAGAAAACTCTTTTTGCAAAAGAACCCCTCGCTCCTGCACTTGAGTTATCAGTAACGTTAAGATGAGTGGTTTGGAGACACACTACTATTAAACAAAACTTGAGAAAATTGTTAGTCCTATTTTCTGATATGATGGGGTCTGGTCTTAAAAGTCTTAATTCGTATGAGTCGTATGCATCGACATAACCATGTCGGTGGTCGTTTGTCATTATTCAGGTTCATGTAATTAAATTTAAAATTCAACAATAAAATCCCTAGATATTGCCCGCGTCAACATGAACAGGGTATTTTGACCATTGGGTCAAATTTGCGGAACCGCAAACATATTATCGCAATCGTTCTAATATAAACTCGCCTTAACTCACCTTCGTATTCTTATTATAACGAGGTTTTGAATAAAAAGGTTATTGAACAATGTTACATAAGATTTTTAAAACATGGTAACTTTTTTATTGCCTTTATGTGAGTGCGTCAGTACACAACATCAACTAATAAATAAAAAAATAAATACATCATATGAACACACATATATGAGCATGAATACTTATGCTATATTAATTCCCAATTCATTAATAATTTCGAAAAACTCATTAGCTTCCTGTTCTTCATTTGTGTCGATATCAGTTATTCATTTTCTCCCTAAAAAAAATTTCCCACCCAAAAAATCCCATTTTTCAAATTATATCCCCTAAATTTAGGGGGGAAACCTCCCATGTTGGCATCACTGGCTCTGTCTTCAGTTTGCTCAGTTCCAAGAGGATATATACCACCAAACACCACTTAAGCAAAATATTTTTATTATCAAAATAATATGAATAACTTTGAACTACATAGTTGAATAAACTAAAAATCTACCTTTATTACCTTTATTTCAAGTCATAATCTACTGGTAAAATGGAAGTCACGACTTTGAAAAATTCTATAGCCACAATGAATCACATGAGTGCCGAAAAATTGGCGTCAATAAAGGAACTAAACAAAATTTGTACCACCGCATCAAGTCTCAAAATGAAAACTGTTCAAATCTATCCTCTACAAACTACAGAATGAAGTTAAACCGCAGTAACATTAACTGTCTCGATTCTCGTTATCGGTTCCATGACCTTAACGCTCAAATTCTTGTCTGTATCTGAATTCAATTTCAATTCCTGGATCATCTCAATCACATTATTGATAGCATCCGATCCTTCCACAGCAATATTTTGTTTCTTGGAGTAATGCAAGAAGCAGTAACCCTGGTTACCTTTCCAGGATATATTGCAAGGTTTGATCCCCTTTTCCCTGAGAGCGTTTTTCAATTCACTCACTCTAACGTTCCTCTGTATATTACTGACCCTGAGAGAGTAATCTATATGTTTATACTTCTTTCTCCTTCTAAAGATCTTTGGAGACGGAACTCTTTCGATATACGCGGGGGAGTCTCTGTGAGAGGTGCCGTCTTCATTTTGAACTGGTGACGAGCCAGCAGAATTTTTTATTTTCAGTTTCGGCTTACTTCTAATGTATCTAGTTGGTCTGAGAAGCTGATTCCTCATCCGTTTTTCTGCCTTTGTTTCCTTTCTCAATGTCGTGTCTTTACCTTCACTGAAAATCAAAATAAACATATTACAATTTGGTGATTCACAGTTTTGTTACATCAATGTTAGATGTACCTTTCGTATTTTCGTCTTAATTTTTTTAAAATGCTCTTGTTTCTCAATCGTCTCTGGGTCAACTCGCCCCAAACGATCCCTTCAGGTTTTGGCAAGCCGCGTTCCACCTTGATTGTACGAGTTGGCGTTAAAATATAGTCGACGGGTACATCGTATTTCTTGAAGATACCATGCGGCATATCGAATACCTAAAAAAATTCGCAAAAGGTAGTCAAAGTTATGGAAGCAGATGTCAGAGGCGGATTAAATGTGGAGAGCTCCCTAGGTAAGCACCTCACAGGCGCCCCTTTAGCACACAAATTTTAATGACCACTGACTCCGAAAGATAGCGTGCACCCCTTCGTAGCCACTCTCCCCTTCGTAGCCTCGCGCCCCTAGGCAGGTGGCTAGTTAGCCTGGCGGATTAAATGTGAAGAGCGCCCTAGGCAAGCACCTCACAGGCGCCCCTCTAGCACACAAATTTTAATGACTACTGACTTCGAACGATAGCACGCGCCCCTTCGTAGCCTCACGCCCCTTTGTAGCCTCGCTCTCCTAGGCACGTACCTAGTTTGCCTGTCGGATTAAACGTGGAGAGGTCCCTAGGCATGCACCTCAGAGGCGCCCCTCTAGCACACAATTTTTAACGACTACTGACTTCGAACGATAGTATGAATAATAACAGAAGAGGTAAGGTCGATATCTGATAAAACAATTGATTTTGTTGAAATTTTTTCGAATGTGGAAGGTGGAGTTGAAGACTGAAAATAATTAAAATTATCAGGTTGTTCCAGAAGTTTTATCCGTTTTTATGAGTTCACTTTAAACTGTAATATATCAGTGAATACCTATTAAATTTAATCTAAATGAGCGACATTGGAATAAGTGCACTTTTGCCAACGTAACACAAGTCGATTATTTCCCGAACAGTTCATAATTTTTATGATGTCTTGTCTGATATAAAGTCATTATGTTAACAACACTCCAAATTTGCAAAGCATGACTTGGGAAGTACCACGAATAAAGCGTGGGTTTAATAAAAGTTACAAAGTAGATATGTATCGTATGAATGAGTCAAAGCTAATAAAACTGATAACAAATTTATAACGCATCACAAGATAGGCATATCCTTTTCAAACAGAACAAAGCCACGGAAGCCATCCCATAGTATGCTAATAGAGTAATGTAACAAAATTAAATCCAATAAACGTACAATAAGTATAATATAGTTTATATTACTACAGCTGCCATTACATGATTTTGAATTTTTATTTTATATGATCGCGGAAATTCTTAGAATTATATGCCATTTTGGATAAATTTTTCCTAATTGGAATATCTCCTCAATTTTTCAAATCTCGAAAAAATTCAAGAAATTATACTCAAACGCAAAGTATTAATTTTATTTTTAATCGAGTTTTTATATGTAGGTATATGGATTTTCAAATTGGACACATTCAAAAAGAAACATCACAGTTGTACCATTGTTGGCAACATTCCTTATTTCTTGATAAACAGAAAATTCTTCATTCTGTGCCATACTTCATATGTCACATTTTAGTATCTTTATTGAAGGTTAATTAGTACATGTGCTTTGTACCTGTTGATCACTTAAAAATTATTTCAACACATTTTGCGTTACTTTATGAAGATTTTGTGTATAGTGTTTTAATTTCTACAGATTTTAATCTTAAGGCTTCACCTTCATTTACTTTGACATATTTTATTTAATAATTTTGACATGGCCAGCATCATTAACAGTAAGTGTTGTCCTTGTTTTAAAACTTCCAAATGTATTTTTCAAATTATTATAGCTTCTTAATTGTTTATAAAAGTTTACAAAACACAACTCCTATTAGGATTTTCTAGATAGATGAAGTAAAACATGACATTTAAAAAAATAAATGAAATGTGCTTGAACTGGTGAAAAATTTCAGTTATTGAATGTTTCATAATATTTCTGCCACATTGAAAATGGAGAAAATGTCTCTTACGCCACCATAATTGTTTAAAAAAAGTATACAGAGTTCCATTCAAAATTTTTGCTAAACCATAAGGAATTTTCAACTGTTTATCGACTCAAATGGCATACTCATGTTGAAAATTTCAAAATTATTTTTTCACAAACGACCTGTACAATGATTTCTTTTGTCACCAGGTATAGCAACTATTATACTAAACATACCTGAGAGTCATGAACGATGGTAACAATCTTAGTTTTATCGTCAACCGCTTCCAAATCCTTGAGCATGGCATATTCCAAATCAACGAAACCTTGCCCCTCCCCAATTCTCAATCCGTCCTCAGAAACAGCAACGCTTCCCATCACTATCAAATCAATATGAATTTTTTCTTTGAAGTCGACCCTCCTCCCAAAACATTCCATTCCTCTTCGTGAGACAATAGACTTGATGTCTTGCTCAAAAACTAATTCTATTTTCTTTGTCATACCATAATCAAACCCAGGACAAGGTACATACAAATCTTTCTCGTGGCTCAATGTCTTTATCCTTACGAGTTCCACAACTTTCTCTGGAGTCACCGCTATCGATTTGGCAGAGCGAAAAACGTCCAATTCAAGTATTCTTGCTGCAGCCTGATCTGCATCGGCAAAATTAGGAATTCTGCCATAGTGTGGAGGGAACACTCCCAATTTATTTTCAGAGAAATGGTTCCATACACGTTTTCTTATTGAAGCTTTGGTTATTACTACAAAAAAAATGTAGGGGTAAGTCGTAAGAATTCATGCTTCATATCCGTTACCACTAAACATTGATACCATATTGATATTGTTAGTAAGAATATTTATACAATGATATCCAAATTAATTGTCCACTGTTGGTAAGTTTGTTATTGAAGGTACAAGTTTTGAAAAAAAGTTACATTTTCTTCAGGAACAGTATCAATTTACAAATAAAGTTACTGATAACTTCAATCTTGGGAAACAAATTAATTTCTTATGTTACACTAAAATAATTAAACAAACTTAATTTTACACGTCAACTGAATGATGCAAATTGAATTTACAATTTTCTATGAGTAGACTTTCTAATATACCACCCTGTTCAATACATTTTGTTGCACGTTTTTTAACTGCTCAAACTGTCTTTAATTATGGTCTGCAACTTATGTAGCCTCGTTTGTATTAATTTATTTTTGTCTTGTTTCAATTCACGTTCATTACTTCTAAATTTTTGAGAGTCTCAAAAAATATAGTTCGTGTGATTGAATGAGAAGGATATTTCAGATTAGTATTCCTGTGCTTTTTAACAGCATTTTCTGCACATTAAATAACATTCTAACGTTCCACGCTTTTCTTCGTGACAAAATACCATTTATTCTTCAAATTCATAACTAACACAATCATTGCCTTAGGTTGTTTTGCACTGAGAGTAATCTCTATAGATCTAAACATTTTAACTATTCCCATTCAAAAATGCCTGTTTTGTTTTTACAGATCCTCGTATTAGATATGGAATGGCTTTTTGGAAAAAAATGATTTCAAATGATTTTTTTATTTCAAAAAATGGGTGAAACAAACAGCTTCCAAGGATACTTACAAGCTACTCTTCGAAGTCTACAGTAGCCACCTTATTTATTTTAGAAACTACGTGTTTAACACAGAATTATTATTAATATCTTGAAACTCTCATTTCCTCATATAACATTTGTAGTTGCAATATTGAGGTTTCTCTTGACGCAAGAATAGTGTTGAAGGGTTTAATCACCTGTCTATTGGAATAAAAGAAATCAGATGGAGGAATTCTGTTTGATAGTAAATTGGTATTTGCTGTGACATCGGCTTGTAAAGGGCTCAATTTTTATATCACATACCTGTACATTTTTCACTAATTTTTGTGCTTGCTACTTGTTTGAACCAAACTGGAATATACCACTTTGATTTGGTATCCTCTCTAGTGTCTATATTGAAACTTTGGAGAAAATTTGATTGCGTTGTTCAGAATTGAACCAGCCAGAGGATGTAACTACTCAGCTTTTTTACAAAGGTTCAGGTTACCCCTTTAGAAATGTGTAAATTAACGTTAAGCATAATTACATTATACATAATTATTGATGGAATAGTCGATGCACCTATACTACTGAATTAAATTAATTTCAAAGTCACTAATCACTATTTACATTCTGTTCTGGAACAAATCTTGATAGTATTTCTCCAACAGTATCGATGTGTTCGAACTTCAACAAAAATATTGTTATCATTGCCATATCCACGATTCACTCATAAAAACAGTTAAGCAGAGTATTGACATCATCTCCTTAATTTGAACTTGAATTTTGTTAAGATATGGATTAACATGTTATTTGTGTTAAATATGTAACTATTCTAATGTATATTGACCTGTAAATGGATTGGTCTTCAAATTACCTACTACTCATTTTGGCTCTCTGAATTTCACATCTTCATTCTTATTTATATTGTAATGGTCAATATACAGACATGCTTTTTAATTTTTTTCCCTTGAAGACTTTGAATGTCTAAAAATTATTATAAAACTTGGTCTATAAGAAGTATTTTTGATTTGGCTTTCGACTTGCAACGTATGGTCTCGGACTGGTGCATGAATCATACAATTATAACTCACCTTTTGGAACAGGTTTGGCAGGTTCTGTAACCTGGGCTTGAGGAGTTTCTTCAACTTGAAGTTGGGTAGGATTTACAACTTGGGGTTCACTCATTTTGAAAATGACTACTATCAGAATGCCAACAACCAACACTTTCCAAGATAAAACACTCCCACTTATCTCAATCAAATTCTTGTCAATGTTTTTGCATTCCTTTTTTTACTTGACGTTTCATTAGGGTTTTTATAGGCAGAAGGAAATGGAGATTCAGATAAGATAAAAGGGAAGCAAAAAGCTGTACCGACTTTTTGAAATCATTTTTAAATCGCAATGAACGTTTACCCGTTTGAAAAGTTCCTTGAAAATATTAGGAATCAATTTTTCTCAACAAAGTACATGTAATTCAAAAACAAAATAAAAAATTTTTTGGGTGACGAAGGTTAGAAGTCTTAGGACCAAAGGACGACGTTTCACAGTTAAGGGCGGAAACATAGGAGGTTGAAGTTAATATTTTTCTTTTCCTAGGAAAAAATCGCATTTGAAAGCTGCACCACAAAACACAATGACATAAAATGTGTTCGTTTGTCATGTCAGCGAATAGTGAAACAAGGATGGGAGATTTATCTAAGGGGATATACGTCACGATGTTTTACGTGTTGCATACTTGAGGCATACTCTGGCTTATCTTACTGGACTGTTCTGTTAAAAACCAGTCGAACGTGGTACTGTATTGATCCATAATTCAGTCGAAACTTATGATTGTGATACTAATAAAATAACCTTTCGTTGATTATAGTAAATCCTTGGACAATGGTTATAAGGTTATAGTATCTTCCCTACAAAGACGCCATCTATGGAATCGACAGAGAACTCAATCCTCGAATATCAGATAAACCTGTCTCTCGAAGGCTTATAATTTGCAAAGCCAACATCGACTGCCATCTACATGCATTGCAGTAAAAGACAAACGACGGATCTCGTCGATGTAGAAGCAAAGAATATAAACTTTGTATATAGACTAACCTAGTAGCATCGTCCAAAGTTGTCTATATCTATAGACAATGCTAGTAGGATAATGTACGTGTATTTACTATTTGACACAAAGTCGAGAGCCATCTAGTCAAAAAACGATATACCTATTGAGTTTAATGACCGTAGAGATACGACCCCTAGGCACTACATTCAAAATTACACAGATAAAGCAGGGCTGGACTCCGATAATTTAATGCGAATTGTATTAGAGTGTGTTTTGAATCATAAATTATTAAGTTTTCAACATATTGAGAGACTTATTGCTAGCAAATGTATGTCAATTATAAGGATATAACTGACAAAATGGAAGTTATGAAGCTTCGGATATGAAGAATGAAAAAGTATAATTTTTTGTTTGCGGAAAATGCCTGAATTAATTAGTCTATATACAAAGACATAAACTTTGTATGGATAGTCTATATTACAATGATACAAAGCCTATAGAAGCTCATCAACTGTGATATAGACTATCTTTATACAAAGTCATAGCATTGATTAGACAATGTCATAAGTGCGATTTTAGTGTATCTCGAAATTTATAGTACCCCTTGACTATCAGCAAGCGATGGCAGTACGATGTTGGTATTTAATGTGGTTAGTTTTGGCGTACATCTCTACTTCGATACGATTCGGCCAATGAGTTATCATCAACTTCTGCCACCCAATTGTGGAAAGTCGCCTTGATTTCGTTCAGGTTAGAGCCTGACTCCCTTACCCTTTCAACTGATGTGCCACCCAATTCTATTGGTAACCACATTAAATACCGACATTGTACTACCATTGCTCTCTGGTGGTGAGGGTCGGTACTAGAAATGTCAGGATGCACTGAAATCGTACTTATGAGCTGCTATGATTTTTTATATTCGTTAGTGGAAACTACGCTTTTCAACTAACCGCCTTGGGATGACCAATTCATGTTTGATATTCGAGAATTGAGTTCTCTGTCGATCTCATCTTCGTAAGGAAAGACGTCACTGTCCTTATTTACCCAGGCTGATGGATCAAAAATGTGTTGTGTTTGGGTTCTAGTTTTCAATGTTAACATAACCTTAAGAGTCACATTCTATTACCATTTTAATATCTATATATCAACGGAAATATTTTATATTTTCCTAAATATCATAAAAGGATGGGACGAGGAGCAATTAGTTCATGAATGTAAGGTTTTCATTAAATGGGGACAAACAATTTTACCCATTTCCAATGATTTAGGAGTATATCTCACCCATCAAATGGAAAATGGATTCAATCTTCGTGTTGAAATTTTTATAATAGAAATTATTCCAGTAAATGTATGATGGTACAGAAAATGTTTAAACAATGAATAAAATACCCCTCAATATAATACTTCTAAGTAAACTTAGTAGAAAAAACAATGGTATTCATTCAGATTAACCGTCTCTTGTCTTGATCCATTCTTCGTTTAAGATTCATCGAATAGCTTGAGACATATGCAGAGGAGTCAACATCAATTCGAAAGCTGCATCTTTCAGATTAGCACCTCTCAAATTGGCTTCATGCAGGTCACTTCCAGACAAATCGCAGTTCTGAAAAATGAATCAAAAATAAATATCCGAAAGAGTTTACAACAAAGCACAACATTTTTCGTAACACAAGCAATTAGACCTATGTGAAAGTAGCAACAATAAGTTAAGAGGTACATTTCTTGTATCGTTTTTTCTGACAAACACAATTCAATATTTTATACATATTCCTCCTATACAAATCTCACCACTGATCATTCGTCTTACTGATTACTTTTCTCGCAAAAATTGTAATGATTCGAATGTCATGTTAAATGTGTTGTTATACCTCCAAGTCTGCTCCTGCTAAAATGGCGGCTCTCAAATCACAATTTTTCAGATTGGCATTCTTTAAAGTGGCAACCCTCAAATTAACACAGCCCATATCACTTCCCTCTAAAATGGCCCCTTTCAAGTTGACGCCCTCCATATTAGCCCCTCCCCCTGCGGGATCTTTGAAATTGCAGTTCTTCATAGAAACACCTTCCATATTAGCACACAAACTTTTAACACCTAAAACAAAGATGTTTGAAAGGTTAATAATAGATATGGAAATCACAATTGAGTTATATGTTTTGATATATAATAAATAAACCATTTCAAACAATAAATCATCAGTATGGGAACACTTCAGGGTGGGGAACACTTGGTTGCCAAAAAAGTACAAGTGCACGAAGTCATCGGCAGAATCCAGATCTTGTGTTTACAAGAATACTACTAAAATTACTACAGAGGCAGCTAGAGCTCTCTTTTCTGAGTGCTATGTCCGATAAATGTATACCTTCCATTTGTATCAAGACTCCATATTATATCTGTATGATTTGCTGGGCCCTGATGTTATACAGATAGCTATAGCTGCCCCTGTGGTAATTTTAGTGGTATTTTTGTAAACACAAGTTCTAACCTAACATAATAATGTAGAATGTGCAAACTCAAACACAATACAGTTTAATAAACAAGGCACCTAACTATGTAATAATAATTATAATATGATTGAGACAACTCCTTTTGATTCTTACCTAATAACTGGGCATTATCTAACATCGCATGTGATAAATCTGCCCTTTCCAAACAACAAAAGCTCAAATTGGAACCAATTAATTTACACCCCTGCAGATTGGCATACTTGAAATTAATGAATCGTAAATCCAATCTGCTCAGATCGGCTCCGGACAAATTCACCCCCTGAAACCTGAGTTCAGCTGTATAGGGACTTTTAATAAGTGCATCTACCACATCCCGGCGTGTCAGCGGTAAAGAATCACGAGGTTGTTTCTCCTGAGCTATTATTTGTTCAAGCATTGGAATAATTGAATCAATTCCGAAAAAACGAGCTTCTTCTAGGATACCTTCTGGATTTACATTTTTATCATAGACTAACTGACCGCATCTAAGATAATTGAGAATAGGTTCAAAATAAGTGGGAGATCTGTCGATCAAGTATGCCCCATTATTGTCTACACTGCTTGGAGTAAAGAGATATCCTTCTACATCCTCGGAGAACATTCTAGCAAGCATACTTGACGGTTCACTGTTTATTAATGTCCTTTTGGAGGTTGTAAAACATTTTCCTCCAACATTTAAGGACACCCACTCGGAATTGTTATGAACTCCACTGGATTCTGTAGGCTTCTGAAAGTTTTCTTCTTCAGAAATGTAAAGCTGGTCTTTGTTCCGAATATAATTTATGTCTCTTATTTCTGTGCCATCTCCAAGAAACACTCTTCTAGCTGTGACATTGAATTTACAGGAAACAATTTTCAGTAGATCTTCCAAGGTTTCTGGCAGGTCAAATACCTGTAAATTTCATTATGAAATTATTCACAAAGTAAAATGAATTTTTGTGTACCGCTCTGTTTGCATCTGTTCCGTTGGTGAAGACTGTCACATATTTGGAACTCATTTTAGTTTTAAAAAAGTTTTTAAATTTCACTCAAAGTTCAGGTAAAGATAGGCAACAAAACGAATACAAATATACTCTGACATGGAACACTAAAAATCAGAATCTTAGATTTTTCAGACACGGAAAAGTAAAATGTTTACCCGAGCCCCTCCCTCCTCTTCTGAAGCTCGGGTCACAAGCACAGAGTCATAAGCATATATATCTGAAAGTTCAGTGATGAAGGCCACTTGAATACTAAATCAAGTTCATTTGGAAACGCACATAATGAATGCCAGTAGCATGCGGAGATGTGATGGAATCCGCCAATACTTCATGAAAATTCATAACGTATTCAAATAACACTTTATTGTGAGATTTTCACTGGTCAATTCACAAAACCTCACTACGTGTTTCACTAAGCAATAGTTTTCTAAGCGTTTTCGTACTATAATATGAACAGATTAGTCATGAAAGGAGACAACGAATTGCAAATTACTGTTCCCTCATACTGATTGTGAAAACAGCGAACTGGAAGCAGTTCTGTTCTATATAAGATTGTGTGAGCAAAGAAAAATATGTTACAGATCAAACAAAAAGTAATCAAGGAAATAGTTGAAGTGATGAATATCCTTCGAACATGGTGGATATAAGTTAATTAAGAGAACATTCAAAGAGTGCCTTTGGAAATTCTCGATTTTTCAAAAAGTCGAAGACTCAAAATTTATAGGCCTTTTATTTGAACCAAATAAACCAACGGATTTGTTTGAATGTTTAAGAAAAGTGATGTTTATGAAAGTGATTTTCAAAACTGTTCCTACATTTTAACAAGTTTTAGATAACCCAAAAGACAAGACTAAGCGCAAATAAAGAATTTGGGGTTCACAAAATTGTGTGTGGGTGTGTAAAGGTGGCAATTAAAAGTTTGTTGGTCAAACTAAGCTGAATATGATAACTCGCTACAGAGAACATTTTTCACATGTTAAGTTATATAGACCAGAGAAATCTAGTGTTGGACAACATTTTGTGAGGAACGTCCGCAGAATAAGTGAGGAGTGCTCAAGTTGAGAAATCGAAAAATTGAAGCCAAACCAATATAAAATTTCCAGGTCCTGAATTCTATTTGCTTCACTGTCTTACTATTTATCTATGGTTTTGTGCCGTCCACAGAACTTAAACTTCTGGCTTTTAGTCCTATCGTAGAACAAAATTTTGATAATATACGTGTATTTCACTCTCAGAGTTCTGAAATTTCATTTTTTTTTGTGGTAGACTACTGAAAGACAAGGCATAGTGACAAGGCAAGGGTCAAAAATTAAGAAAAAGACAAATGTTTACTACGTCACTAGTTCGGCAAAAAATTTAAATTAGAAAAAAAATGTTTTTCAAGAAATATATATTTTCGGTATTTCTGCTTTCTTTAGATATAGTAAAAGCACAATGGAATACCAGAGATTTCCTAAAGAGAGAACACTCTTTAATAAAACCTTATTATGGTAAGTACCTTTAACTAATCTAAGGTTACAAAGTATTTTCAAAAATTTACTTTTCTCCCAAAGGGTCGGGAATAGATATACCTAATTGGCAATTCACTGGTCATACGATGGTTACTCCAAATTATATTCGATTAGTAGATGATACACAAAGTAAAAGAGGTGCTATTTGGAACACTCTGGTATGTATAGTATTCTCTCCATAAATTTGCATTAATTCGTTCATATTCCATTGTTCAGCCTGTGAGTAGCAAAAATTGGGATTTACAAGTTCACTTCAAAGTCCATGGAAAAGGAAAAGATTTGTTTGGCGATGGTTTTGCCATTTGGTACACTAAAGACTTTATGGAGGAAGGCGACGTTTTTGGAAGCAAAGATTTATTCCAAGGGTTAGCTATTATATTGGATACTTACAGCAACCATAATGGTCCCCACAATGTAAGTGGTATAAAATAATTTTTCAACTCATTTGAAAATTGAATATCATTTCAGCATCAACATCCTTACATTTCTGCAATGGTTAATAATGGATCGCTCTCTTATGATCACGACAGAGATGGTACTCATACCCAGTTAGCAGGATGTGAAGCCAAGTTCCGCAATCTAAATCACGATACCCATATATCAATTAGATATGAAAAAGATGTACTAACAGGTATTAACAATTGACTAAACTGTTATGGGTAAATACTTGTTCTACCAGCTTGTGCTAGTTTGGAAAATGAATGTGTCCATTCTAAGTGTTCCAGTCCATTTTTGGAGGTGTGTCCACATCTCCACATCGTGAAGAATTACTTTCGTTATGAAAACTAGTAAAATAGTACTTTCTTTTAACGATTGTCTGCTGCAGACTTTTATTCAGTTGCCACTTCAATTTTTTTCATACAAGAAGTTCAATTTCCACTTATCTCATACCAGAACTGAACTACCGACTCTCGAGGCGTTCTTTGCCAACCAAATTATCATCAGACGTCTAAAAATAAATCTTATAGCTTTGAGAATCAGGACTTTTCTTCTGGTGTAGAAAATGTGTTTTCAGTAGATAATTTTAATGCCTGATGTTCCAATTCTACCTATCACGTTTTCTCTATCTAAAACATATATTTAAACTAATCTTCAAATGCTTAGCACTTGTAGGGTATTAATTTATTAAATATCTTTCCACCATAATAAAATAGACTTTTTGGTATGAAGCTGAACCATGCTTACTTGGCAGTAAGAGTGTTTTGTAACTTGTGGGGTACTGATGATTTTTGCCGGTCTGGGAAAAAAAGAATAACCTGTACATGTAGATTTGTTTTTTCAGTTTCCACCGATATAGAAAACAAAGCAGCCTGGAAGGAATGTTTTCAAGTCCAGGGCGTGAGGCTACCAACTGGCTACCATATTGGAATCTCTGCCACAACTGGAGATTTATCTGATAACCATGACATCATGTCCATTAGGTTATTTGAATTGGACTTACCCGATGACGTAAGTTAACTTCTGAAAGTTATATCAGTTATTTCATTGCTCTGTTTTTTCAGCCTGAAAACGCCGAGGATAGGTCGAATATAATCCCCTCTGCAGCTTTCTTCGAACCGCCTCGCGATCATGTGGAAGATCCAAAACCGTCTTCACTCTCCGGCATCAAAATATTTTTACTGATGCTACTGGGAAGTGTAGCGATCGTAGCTTGTGTTGTGTTGGGTATTATGTTTTACCAAAAACAACAGGAGAAGAGCAGAAAGCGGTTTTATTAGTTTGTGCAATAGGCATCTAAAATAATCATTCTATTGCTATCAAGTTTGTTCAGGTGGACCACTTTCTGTCTCTATTTCGTTGGTCCCCATAAACTGGGTATGGTTTTCAATTGTTATATGTATTTCATGTACAATCTTTAAGCACATGAAAAATCCTATCACAACTGTCGTTGAAGAAATGATACCGTTTTTCATGTGTTTGAACTACCCATGATTCTCCTAATTATGTGGTTATATTGACTGATATTTTTTTGTATTGAATCGAGTTGTGTTTTCTCGTTCATCATAATCGGTGTTTGTCTCAAAATCAAGTCTATAAAATCCAGAAAAGTACTTTGTGCCAAAGTTAAAAGCTCATTTTTTCTTGAATTCACTGAAATGCATGTATTTTTCAATTTTAACTTATTTTCTTGTTATAACTACTATGTGTTGTGATATTTTGCATCCAAGTTATATTCATTATCAAAAGATGAAGAGAGAACACAATAATAGGCCATTTTAGTCGTAGTTTAAAATTTATATTCATTGTACAATGAAAAAACAATGCATAATTTAGTCATCACATCACTAAGAAAATGTTTTTGTGACTCTTAACTTTAAATGGATGTTGAAATGACCAAATCCTTAATTTATATCAATTTGTATACAAATAATAGCTTAGCTCTCAACAGAAAATTTAAAAATATCCAATTTGTTCAAAATGGCAATTCGTCAAAATAAACATTTTTTCCACTTGGATATTAACAATTTTCTTCATTTATTGTTTTATAGAACATAAAGCAGGATAGGTGAATGATGTACGCTTTAAATAAGAGTATTGATTTATTTTCACGACAGGACACTTATTTTAAAAACATTTCATCCAGGGTTCTGTGTACTCATCTGATATGACTGACATAGTTGAAGTGCGAAAGGAAACTTTGGCAGTATTGTAATTTGTAAAATAATCGTGAACTGAAATACACAGAACGACATTCAGTTATCCAAAGATACATGAATTTTTATATGGTATACAGTTTTTAAAATAAAAATGTGATTTGTAAATAAAAATAAAGACTTTTTAAGTATATCTGACTAGCACATTCATTTAATGTTATTTTTTCAGTAGTAAAGAATAAGTTTTCGGGGATGTTCACTTCATTTCATCCCAGCAAACGATCAACATTCACATATACTTAAATATCAATGGAAGGAAAACACCAAACATTCAACATACATAAAACATTTACATATACTTTTAAATAGAAAACAGGTTATTCAAACTTCAACTGGCTTGGTTTCAAATATTAAAAAACTAGGAACAGGTTTTATTTGGAGTCGACATTTCACATAACATCTTAGGTCCCTTTTCTCGACTCCAAATAGTTCAAATGTGTTATTAAAAATATTTCAAATTCAATCAAACAAAGTAAAAAGATTTTATTATTTTTGTAAATCCAAAACAACTCAAAACAAAGTGAAAAATCATCAAGAAATTGACTGAAATGTTAAAACCATTTGTACCTTTTCAGAAAGTGATTGAAAAATACAGTAAGGTCAAATTCCAAATGCCCAATAAGTTCTATCAAAGACTGAAAGCAGCTGTTCGGTTACAAATTTAGGCATTTTCAGTCATTATGAAGGCTGGAATTTGTTGTCTTTTTAAAACATCTTTCTTCTATGTTTCTTTTTGGATGCAGCTTCAACTACTCCCTCTTCAGTGGTATATTGAGGACACCAATACACTTTATATTAACACATTTATGAATTAACTTGGCCATTACATAGAAACATCAGTTCTCACTTTCATAAATAAAAAACTAATTATGAAAACGTAGTTTCTGATTGATATTAAACTCCACACCTGACACCAATTTGAATAAATCAGTACCAAATGTTTTAAAGATTTTTGTGCTCTATGACTGATACCAAAAAAAAGAAGTTTGTATATATCGGTAGGCCTGCGATTGTACATCTAAGTATGGCAAGACATAAAATGATTTTACCACAATTAACATTCATGGACATTTACTTGTACACTGATGCCATCATTTTACAAGTTGTTGAACATTGAAGAAAGAAATCTGTATGCCTGGTGCAGTGAGTGTTGTGCTAGCAATTACTTCAGCCGATCTAATGCACAACTTTAAAGCAAGGTTTGTTTCAACTGTCTTCGGATAGTATTACTATAATCCTGTGTCTGACTAGATAGGGGATGAACAAACCTTCCGAGATCTACAAATCGAACCAGCACAATATTCACTCGCCCCGTGTGAGATAAATATGAAACGAAAACATCCTTACACAGCAGTTTCCCTGAATATTTTCACTGGACTATCGATATTTTGTATGTATATGTAGCGAGTAACAGTGGTGGGTGTGGTAATATCTTCGACTTTCTTCACTTTCAAATCCGTTACTTTTACACTGTCGTTTTCAGTCACTATCGAGCCTGTATTGAATGAAATATTGGAATTTTAGTCGGATCGAACCGAGTAGACTCTACAGTGCAAAACAACTCTACAAAAAAACAAAATACGAACAACTTAGGGTTGGGGCGGTGTACCGGATTAGAACTTTGATAAATTAGTAGATGTTAAGATTTAAGTAATTTTAGAACCTCAATAATTTGAGTTTAAGACCTACAACAATGTTTTAGTTTTTTGATCTTGATATAACTGATATATCAAAATTCTATTGAGTGCTCAACTGTTTACTATTAACATACAGGGTGTTCTTCAGTCAATTCTAAAAATTATTTGTTATTTAGAGCTTATAAAAAAGGAAAATTTTGGATAAACTGTTGGAGTTGGAACATCTGAAAATTAAAATTGAAGAACTAAGGTAGTTTGATTGGACATATATGTGACAGATCCGTTGAATAAAAAAGACTGATTAGACAAGCTTTCTTCACATGATATTTTTCGAAATACTTGAATAAAGCTTCGAGAATAGCTAGGTATAAAAAGGCTTTATATGAAAGAAGGGCTGAACACGGAGTAATAAAAAAATTCAATCCTCATCCAAACGAAATTAAATCCATAAAAAATCAGAAAAATAAAATTGAAATTTATTTTAATTATCATTGTTTCTACTCCCTTGATGAATACTTCAGAATTGCCCCCCAAGTTCCCCCCCTCAACTTTTGAATGCACCAATTCATGCAGACTGATATTATTCTCAATTTTAATACTCCATATATATAATTTGACTTGATCTTGTATATTTTATTATTGTCTATTATTAATTCAATATTTGTGTGTACGTGTTAAATCTTCTGTTATGCTCTTTCAAATCACGACAATATCGGTATCTCAAGAGTTTAGTATAAAATAAATTTAATTTAAAAAACTAAAAAACACGCTTTTATAGAACATCGAACTAAAAAACTATTTTTTTAAAATAAGCTTAAAATATTAACGAACGAAAAATACTAATATTATTGTGAAAAAAGCGACTGGCACTTGATATACAAAAAATATGGCACAAAGCGCCAAAGTTTTTTTTCACAATAATACTATTTTCTGATTTTGATCTCCACAAACTTTATTGAAAAAATATATCACCTAAGGTATATATTGGTCAAACTGGCAGGACATTTAGGAATCGAATCCAGGAACATCATAAGAGCTATGTAAATAAGAAAACAAATTTAACACATTCAAATCATCTTCTATCACATCTTTAATGAAGAGTTCGAAATTTTGCACAGTGAAAATAAAGGTTTGAAACTGAATCATTTGGAAGCAATGCAAATTAGTAAACTTAAAAATTCAAACATCCTAATAAATGACCAACTAGATTTGAATAGATCACCATTATTGAACTTGTTTTCTTAAAAACCCAGAAAGAATTATTATTGATGTAGATGTGAGGCAATATGCTTTAGGTAATCATAATTGAGCAGGTTTAGGTAATTTCTTACAGGTAGTCTCAATTATGGTTACCTGTAGTATATAAATATGAATGTAAGGATAATTTGATGTATTAATCACTTGAAAAAGCTAATGTTTAGCGAAACATGTGATATATTTTTTCAATAAAGTTTGTGGAGATCAAATCGTTTAGGTGTAGTTTGTGAAAAGGAAACAATAATACTAGTATTTTTCGTTTGTTATTGTTTTAAGCTTAATTAAAAAAATGTTTTTAACTTTTTAGTTCGATGTTCTTTAGAAGCGTGTTTTTTACTTTTTTAAACTATATTTATTTTTTAGTTTCGTATGCTATAAAAGCGTGTTTTTTAGTCTTTTTAAATTATATTTATTTTATCTAAACTTTTGGATCAATCAAGCGTTTAGAAAAGTGACCATTGATATTTTTAGTTGCGTACAGCGCCATCTGCCCGCGAATAGATCAAGCAATAATATCGATAATTCTGTCAAATACAGATCTTGAGCTTGAGAGTTACAAGCAAACTAACAAACATACATACAGGTGAAACTAATATAAAGCGTGTAATGAATATTATTATGATCATTATTAAAGTTACAATATTTCGTCGGTTCCAAAGGTTGAGACATGTAATAAAATGAATTAAGAGTTTATTTGAAATCAGTGCCGTGTTATTTTGAATTAAAATTGTATAGTTTGAATGTTTTATCCTTTATCAAAGCTTACCGATCACCAGAACAAAAGTTCTGAAAATTTCAAACGAATCGCTTGATTAGAGACTTCCAAAACGAAACACCGCTCCAACTCTACCCTCTACAACGCTACGCTGCAAGCAAAGAAATATACTACAGCAGTCGAAAAAAAAATCAAAAAACTTAAATCTGTACAAAACAAAAAAAAATCACACCACAGAACAACAATTCAGTTTATGGCGAGGTCGTCGAATATTCTCTATCGGCCGTTTTTTCGGTTTGTCGTCACTAAAAATATGAACGTCCGTCGTCGTGTCTTCCGACACCTTTTCCGAGCACTCGATACAATTCTCCAGGCATTTGGCCGGCAATTCGCTTTCGAAATCGTACCAATCCTCGTCGGAAGAGCTGTGGTGGCTCTGCAGCCTCTGAAGAGAGCCTTTGTTCGTAGGTTGAGCGAGCTTCAGTCTAGCTCGAGAGGCAGAATTCGGCACCTCCGACTTGGACCTGTCCCGAAAGAAGCAGTTGTTAGTCTGGACGACGTTGACTGTTTCAGAAGCTGATCTCCTAATAACCTTCGGGGTCTTCTCTAACTCTGACCTTATTATATCCTCCAGCCTGTTCTTCAACTGAGCTGGCGACACAGAACCTCTTCTGATCTCCTCCTTGTCATCATCCAAGTCCACTTGCTCCGAGCTAGGCGAATGCAAGCGCGAATCTATGCTCTCTGGGGTGTAAGGATCGTGCGAGAGCATGTCCCTGGTGATGGGTTCGTGCAACAGCTTAGAATCTATTGAGGTGTTCGCAAAACTACTTTTCGTGTTTGCTAAGTGATCGCACATGTCGATTATGTTTATTTTTATGGAAGCAAACGATTGGCAACACTGGCATTTTTCAGGCAAGCAAGCTAAAGGTGCGTGATCACAACAATTAATTATACCTGAGTTCTGCTTCACCTCCAACCGCAGGTAGACCGGCTGCAAAGGAATCGACACAATCGATATGAATGAAGCGTTCGGGACTATTGAACCAGAAAGTTATGAGTAAATTTTGACGGATAAGTTGATTCTCGATTAGGTCCAGTTAGATTTTTATGTAATGTAAAGCAAACATGAAATTTGGAATGAAGGATCTGTGGGAAAACTGTACATAGAAAATATTTTGAATAACAAATTTCTTCAAGAGAAAGCAGACTCTAGAAACAAGTCATATTTAACAAACACTTTATTGTGAGTTTTCACCACAGTTTCACAAAAACGAAACACGTGTTTCGCTATACAATGGCTTCTTCAGGCGTGTCTATACTAACTAATGAAAATCTCACATTTTTTTAAAACTGTGTAGTGATAATCTCACAATAGTGTGTCTTGAATACGTTATAGATTTTATCAATATAGGCCTATTCCATCAAATATATAAACATATCATTTGCAAAGATAGCACTGTTTTAATCTGCTATCGATGATACTAAGCTGTTGAAAACTCGTTCAATGAATGAACACATCTGATATAATGGATCAGAATCAGATATTATGACAAGTGACATTTGTCATTATGACAAGTGACAACACTTGTCATCTTGACAAGTGACAATACTTGTCATCATGACAAGTGACAATACTTGTCATCATGACAAGTGAAAACAATTGTCATCATGACAAGTGACAACACTGGTCATGATGACAGCGTTGGTCCAAATAGGTGATTAAACTCCAACGACTATGGACGGTACAGGATTGCTTACTTTTGCGATTTTGTTAGACACGTCACGTGATCTCGTGACGTAACAGTAACAGTCATATAAATTCCTTATTGAAATATTATTTTTATATATGATTAAATACTTAATATAAATTTTAGTTCAATTCTGTGATTGAAACAACGATAAAAATAAAATAAAAACTACAATAAAAATTAATTGGCGCTCTGGGGCGACTTCATTAATTCCAGATTAATCCATATAAATGGATTGATACTAAGTGAACATTTTTCTTTTGTGGATGATAGGGCGAGCTATTTTGCCCTTTTTAAAAGTAAGAGGTTTCATCAGTTTTTTATTATTTTCATGAAAACTGTAACTCCCACAAAAAATTTGTAATGAACTTTGTTTTAGATTTGCATTATCTAAAAAACAAATTCATAACTTTTTGTTCCATCTTCTATAATAAAAGCTCAATAATCAAAAATATACATTGGTAATGAATTGTTTATAGGTGTAACAACTTTTTTTATTTATCTGACAAAAAATACATGATACGGTTTTTATTTTTATTTTTTATTCTCCTTGTATATTTTGTTGATCAGCTTGAGGTTGAGGAGATACAATATTATGAGGAAAAGAGCAACTTTGGGATGTGGATGGCTTAAAATTATCCAAATTTGATTCAAGTAACATACTGATAGTTTCATTGTGTTTTTTCTGTAAGGCTCTAATATTGCGACTTGTATTCTGTAAAACTTCCCTCTCTTTATCAATTGTTGGATAATTTAGGTAAACACTAGGTACTGCAGTTTTTTTTTAATTTACGACGCAAAGGCAAACCTATAAAAAACATATTTTAACCAGTAAATTAATAGAAGTTTTTACCTAACAATTCATTTTCAAGGTCTCGTTCATAATCATTTTCTGTAAAACAAATCCATTTTTGAGAGTGAATTTATCCCCTCTTTTGCAGCGACGAATCCATTATTTTTGCAAAGTTGTGGAAACCATGTCTTTAGCAATAGGAAAAGAGTGAAATATTACATTAGTAACACCACTTTTCTTTAAAGTCAACTGATTGCTTTTGCAAGTTGACACTGCACAAATACGACCAGGCATTTCGATTAAAAATTACAAGGTTATTTAATGGTTAGACAATTATTGTTATTACTTACAAAAATGTGAATATTTCCAATTTTTACCTTAATTTAATTTAAAATTGTACAAAAAACAAAAAAGTTCCACAATTGCAAAAAAACAAACCTCAAAACGGAAGAAAATAACAGAATCTTATATGGCGTCTACTCGTTACACCAGTTTAAAAAATGTCCAAAAGCACAAAAAAATACGACTTTCACAATAACAAACCCAATGTTTCAGAAACCTAATTGGTATAGTTAAATGAAAATTTAATAAAAATAAACAAAAACAATGTATTACTGTCCGAAAATAATCCTCAAAAAATGTTAAAATAACACACATTCTTATGTCAGCTACTAAAAGTGTCACCAGTGTTACGTCACATCTGCTCGGCGCTTGTTTAATGTGGCGATATATGTAAGTAAGCAATCCTGTATGTCCATAATCGTTGAATAAACTCTATACTTGTAATAGTAATCCTATCACATCTAACAACAAATTGAAAGTACAAGTAACTAGGAAGGGCCCAGATAGTTATGTAGGGGAATCTTCATTATTATCTGATAAAAAAAGTCAGAGCCTCAGGATAGTATTATGAGAACTTTTATCTTTATTTAATTGTTTATGTGGCAAATAAGTTTGAAATTCGATAGATGTAGATTAGGACCCAATTAATATTTTGGAGCAATTTCAAAATAACATGTTAAATGACCCAACTCAAAATTTTCAATAATAGAAATATGTTTCGAGATGATATTGATGATACTGTTATATTGTATTGAGTTGGAAATTGGAATGGTTTGTCAAGCAAATATAAACAAAAAATATTTAATAAAACCATAGTTAAATAAGCTTATTAAGCAAAGTCTAATTTACATTCAGTGATGAATTCACTCATTGGTCTATTTGACTCATTAGTTGACTAAAAGTGCACTTGAAATGTCTCTAAATGAACTAACTTGGCTCATATATCTTCTTTTTACTAATTGAGAGTATTAATTACAACATTTAGGCTCTCAACATTAAAATTAAAGAAATAAATATTTCAAATAAGACTACCGTCGTTTTGTGAACATCTCACACTAGATTTATTGCAAAAAACTACTACCATTTTGATTACTCTATAATAATGAAATGAAAAAATCTCTTACTCAAATCAAATGTAGATGAATGTCTTGAACCAAATACAACTACAATAAAATCACACAAAGAATACCTTACTCATGACAGACTGTCATCTGAAAATCCAGAAATACTGGCTGCATAGAATAAACAAAAAAATAATCAAACCTTACACCTAAACCAATCAGAACTATAAATATAAATCAGAAGACTTCATTGAGTTTCCAGACATTATACAAGCTCTTCAGTGGCTTAATAAAGGCAACAAAATATGTACGAAAGATTATCCACTTAATTGGTAGTACTACAAAAAAACTGTTTAGAATAGCTACTGTATTCCTCATGATTTTGTTGTATGTCATATTTATACACTGAAATCTCACCTTGTGATCCCCCATGCACGTTTTCCCACCCATCAGTCCGTAATCCACTATGGACTCCTTGTCCACCAACTCTTTGGCAGTCTTGCTCATCAACACCCTGTCACACCATGCCGGACACCTCGTTTGCATGTAGCTCGTCGCGTGGCAAATATTTTCTTCGAATGGATAAGATGGAGGGAAAGTCACTGGGTATTCAGTTAGGGTATCTTCAAAAGCTTCCAGTTCCTTGTCAAATGATTTCAGCTGAAAAAAAATTATAGTTGTTTCAAAATTCTTACGAAAAAAATTAAACGGTTTACACCTGCATGTAATAAAGTACATGTCTGAAATATTTGTGGCTGGACGAAAATGGTGGTTCACGCTGGATGTAAAATATCTACAAAAAAATCTTCTGAAATGTTGTAAGCCTTTCTGACAAAAAATATCTTCAAGGTTCTTTTGAAAATTAGCAATGACAAACATTTCATAAATATTTCAAGTAGATTATTGTCATTTTCATGCCATTATATATAGTTAAGTTCTTTTTGACTAGTTGTTGGAATATGAACTTTTGATTTGCAAGCTTTGTTCTTTTGTATATGTTCTTTTGTATATGTTCTTTTGTATATTGTATAAAAATTGTATATTGATTTTGAGAATCCTATTGTTACAGTGCTTTTGTATAATATGATTATATTAAATATTAAAAATAATCTATGAGGGCGTAGTTTTTGCAGCAGACATCCTAGTTCTTTCAACACTACCACCTTCAGTGTAAAACATCCAGAAGAAAGTTTCTCATTTATAATGACATGTTTGTCGAAATTCAGACATTCATCGATAATAAGGCCCAATAATTGTGTACAGATCTTATCTTCCACTATAACATTTCCTATATGAATTTCTGGTAGACTGCACTTTGAGGTGATACTTATTTTAATGTTGAATTGCAGGAGGTTTGATTACACCATTGCTTAATGTCTTTGAAGTCATTGCAGATGTTTTCATGTGAATCTGGTGGATTTTCATTAAGCCACAAAATTGTGGCATCATCTGCAAAAATGGTGAACCTACTATAATATTAACTAGAAGGCTTACATACAGAAAAAAGAGTATGAGTCTCAGGATCAAACCTTGGAGCACTCCTGATTTCACATCTTTTGTACACGAACAACTATCAGTTTTTACAAATCGTCTAAGCTCTGTAACATAGGATTCAAACCATTTCAGGCAGTTCTTAGCAAAACCCATAATGATGTAGCTTTAAGACACAATAAATACTCATTATTATTATTTATCGATTTTCTACACACATTTTTCAGACAAAACTCATACCACTTATACCACATCCCCCTTTATGAAAAAATAAAAAGTTGATAAAACGTGACGAGATCATTTTGAAGGTTCATTCAGTAAGTTCCGAATATATTCAGAGCAAACATGGATACAAGTAATTTTGTCTGAAAAAATTAATCACTGAGCTTAGCTTTCATCACAGTTCAAAACGGAGATGACAGATTGATGGCTGAAATAAAGCTATCAACTACATTGCCATTTAATTGGAATAGTTCCCATTAAGTGAAAAGTAAATAATAGATATTGATAAATTTCCAAAAATCTGGTTGCTGAAAGTTTTATTTACACCAGAATATTGCAAAACCATTTTACAAATATCAATTAAGTTGGAATGGATTTCTAATTGAGCCCAGCCTGTGATAAATATGGGAATTATCTTTGGAATGCATTTATAAAGCTGCTTATCTTAGAATACACAAAGGAAATAATTTCTGATTAGGTATATCCTACAAGCACATTGAAAATTCATTTATTGAAACCATGAAATGGAGATTTGCTCCAATGACAAATAATATTTTTGTAAGTTAGCTGCGATAAGGTATATCAGGCAAATATGTTGACATGAATTTAATGGAATGACAATATGAAATAGTTTTCAAGAATTATTAGGGTTATATCAATAACTTCAAATATTAGATAAGGATGACAATATTGTTTTATAAAGGAGTATAAAAATTACACACAATTCAGATGTGTCACTCTAAACACTAAGAAACAATGAAACAAAGAAGGCAAATTGCGGAAAAGCATTCTGTTCAAACATCAACTGATTAGTCAGCGCAATTGCCGTTATCTGTTGGATATTAATCCAAGAGTTTTGAGAAAGAGATATATGTTTAATGTCACAAGAAATACATCTTGTCGACAAACATTTGTCTGCTAAAAAAATAACTATGAATATTATTAAATTGTTAAGTAAATATATAAATGTACTAATATACACAAATGAGCACATACACAAACAGTATCTTTGTTAAAGTGTAATCTTGTACATGGGTAAAACTATGATTGTAACATATACAACATATACAATATATACACATATATACACATATATACAAACATATACACATACATACATACATACATACATACACATGAAAATTATTGTGTCAAGGTTATCCTCAAAAAATTCATTTAATGTATAGTAAGCCTTTTTTGACCAGAAATGCCCTCAAGTTTCCCCTGAAAGATAGTAGCATGACACATTCTGTTGAACTTTTAAGTAACTTGTTATACATTTTCACTCCATTATTTATAATTGAGTTCTTGATTTGACTACTTGTTGGGATAGGAACCTTTAATTGGCAAGCTTGTCTAGTGAAGTAAAGGTACCTTTGTTCTTGTGTGTAAGTCATGCTGATTCAAGAATAAACAATGAAGTCACAGTTGAAATTCCATGCATTAAAAACAGTGGCTTACAAGGATCATTCCACTTTGCCCCAATGAATTTTTTAAAAAAAATTGATCATGCTACCCAACTAACCCTTCTTGAAAAATTATTATTATCATCATTACTAGTAGTAGCTGGGGTGTGAAACTGAAAAATATTCTGTGATTTTCTTCAAATTAGAAACTTGTATGTTTTTTACAATAAGACTGGTTATACTTTCTTTGTGGATATTTCAATAATGTTCTTTTTTTTGTGGAGATCTTTTTAAAACATGAAAATGAATACAAGAATATAATTCATGATCCATATTCTCTCAAATAATAATTCTCATCTCAACAGATACCCCGGAAACTAGCTAAAGATTATATAATAGAAGGTTCTGAGAAAACAAGAAAAAGGTTGAGTTTAGAAAAGGTTCAAACAGAAACCATAACTTGTTCAAATTCAAACCAGACACTGCATTTTCAAATGACAACCATACATTAACATATTATTATAATGCTTATAACATATGTTGTTATGGTGTAGAGCTTAAGTGGAAAATACCAAACAAATAAAAATAATAAATGCTTACCCATTCGGTAGTGGGATTTAGGAATACGGCCTGGTGATCGGAATGGTTGAATTCTTTCTTTCCCACAGTCAATACTAGTTTGCTATCATCAGTTGTGAACTGCAGCTTCATGAACTCATTATTTTTATTATTTTGCACCCTCGTAGTCTTCAGTCCATCAGTCAATTTCTACAAACTCCTTGAATCAATATTTGTTGAAATAAATGTAGGTGAGACACTCACCTTCACTACCCCGTCAGTATCAGTTCTGAAATTGAAATCTCCAAATAGGAAGTACGGTACGTTCTCGTAGGCATCATCGTGGAATCTCTGAAGGGTGTGCTGTAGCGCCCGCCGCCTGTTTCTACAGTAAACTGAGGGAAAAGACTCCATCGCAATGAAATTGGAAGCATCATGGAACAAATGGATATTCACCAAGTCTAGTACTGTTCCATTCAGTGACCACCTGGTTCTCATGAAACCCTTTCGAGACCACTTACACTGTAAAACGAATGAATATAACTATTTCAACTCTTCACCTACCAAGATACTCCCTTACTTCTGGAAAGAAATCTTGTGGAAATTTTGACTTCTCTTTAGTTACGACAGCTTCTATGTTGCCTGAATGAATTTCTTTACCCTGTACCGGTATAAATATTGAGTCTTTGAAATCCCATATCAAAATATTATCTAAGGAATGATGTACAAAATACAAATTTCCCAAGGCCTACGGAAACACTGTGTGAAATTAAAAAAAAACGGTCGTATCAGCTTACTGTAAAATTTTCAGCGGAACTATAGTCTTCGTCTAAGAATACCCTGACTTTATCGAATAAGCGTAATTCGTTACTTGACATAAGCAACTTGACGAAATACTCAACATGCCTCATGCTGAGTTCATAATTTTTACCGCCAACTTCTTGGCAATGTAAAGCTATAAATTTTGGGTCCAGTTTCGACACTGTCGAAAGGAATTCTTCTGTCCAAATTTTAAGCATTTCAGTGGGCTGAAAATGTTAATAATCAACTGACATGCCCTGGCATAGAGGGTTTACTTACATCCTCGAAAATTGATCCAACATTTGCCGTGACTAGTAGAACGGGTATTGTTGTGGAACCCATAATTAGAAGTAAATTCTAAATTGTAATTAAAATCTACTAATTTAGTGATAAATTTCGTGTATCTACTTAAAAGTAATTAATAGCATTTGAGTAGATGTCGAGATGGTAAGTAGATTATTTTTGCTACACTGAACACTCATTATCTCTGGATTATGTACAATTTAATTTCCTTTAATGTTTACTACACTTCTACTATGGAAGCAATTTTCGTTTATCCCAAATGCGCACGCATTCGAAAAAAGGGTTATTGATTAGTTCCACAGTCTTGTCCAGTATTTGAAATTGCTCTGCGTCTTGGAGATAAAGTTGCCACATAAAAATACCTATTTATAGAGTTTTACCAAATTGAACAAGATGTTTATTACATCACGTCTACATCAACGACTATCATTTACGTCAATGGTTTCATTATTTCCGCAATAAAAAGAAATTTCTATTCTTTTTATAAACCACAAAACAACATATCATTATCTACTACTGGCTCTGACGTTCTTTAGGTAGTTAATATTCAGATGATAATTGATAATAATATACATTCAGTCATTATTACGAAAAAAAATGTTTAAAAAACGGAAATAACATGTCTAAAATTTTGTTTGGTTATTAATACATATATTTCGAAACCGCGTTTAATAAAAATAAAACAGACATTGCTTTATCCAGTTTGTGTTTGTCTTCTAATGTTAACACTAAAAATAGATAATTTTAACTGTTATTTCAAAATTTTCAAAAAATAAATTGCAATAGCCTCATTATCTCTTTGTTCTGTGGAGGTGTGGTGGGTAGTGACTAGTGAGTGGTTATGTCTATGCAAAGATGCATAGAAACAGATTCACTTTTATTTTGTCAAAAACTCTCTACTTGAGAAATGAGATTGTCCCAACTTTCTACACATATTGATAGGTGAAACAAGAATCATTTCCAAATATAAGCATTGATGTGCGATTTTCATGTCTGTGAATAGGATGCCGAAGTACGTTGGATCTCTTAATTTTATGAAAAATCAAGAGTGCTTTAGATCGAGTGTTATCGTCAAAATATTTTACATAGAAGTTGAAGTGATTTCACCATGATCTGTCACAGAATATGATAATGGTGAGTGGATTAGAGTTCAATAGGGAAAAATTTGCATTGACGAGGGCGCAGTATGGCGACATCAAATGGTAAACAGCTGATTCAATGAATATGAAACATATTTATATGTTCAGTTGTGAATTTGTGGAACATTTTTGTATCAATTTTATATTTTAGAACTGATAAGTAGGTATAAGGAAATATTTTCACAAAATGAAGCGCAATAAATCACAAAAATATAATAGGCAGCTGACATCACTTTCTATTGTTTTACCTTTTGGCTTAGTTCTGGATAATGAATTTCTTTTTTTCTCTGAACTAACTTTTTTTGAATAATGAACGTGGATTCCTAATAACCTCAGAATGGAATCGCAGGTCAAAATAATTTTTTATGTTGATTTTTCGGCATAATAATGAGTAGCCGATAAAATATTCAAATCATCAAATTTGAGAAAAAAGAAATGAAAGCAACATAAATTTTCAATCTATGAAAAACGCATTTCCAATTTTATAACCGAATAGCATCATCAGATGACCGAAATTACTTATATCTTAATATTTTTTTACAATTTGGACGGATCATCAGCTGAATCAAATTGAAATAGGATTGGTTACTTGTTGTTATTGTTGTATTTTCAAATTTACTTAATCTGTCAGATCAGAACTGAAAGGTGTTATTTTTTATGGCACTTGATTACCTCATTGTGAACAAATGAAGTTTCATTGAACATGATTCAGTGCGGATTTTTTTTGACTAGTCCGGTAAATTTAGATAATGTTGATTATGTAAATTTCACGTTGAATACATTCTATTCTATTCTTTCAAGCAAGGCGATGCCCAAATGAATGCAACTGTTTCGGATAACTTAATTGCTCTGAGGCAGCCATCAAGTCAATCCATTTGTTTATGTTCTTTGAGTTCGCGCGTAATTTCAAATTATCTGGTTAAAATTCACACTTAAATTGTAACAAATTGAGTATTTGAAATGATATATGTCCATGAATATGTAATTATTGAATCCCCACTAATTGAATATGATTAAAAATTCGATTTATACTTTCTTTTGGTTTGTTCTATTTAAAAGTATGAAATAAATGGTCACTGTGTGCCAACTATGCAAATGGGCAAGTCATTATACAAGATAGAAAGGAGAGCTGTTTCCAGTCATATTTTTAAATGCACATCTGCGATTGTGTGACGTCATCCTTGTTAAGTCACTTTAATTTGCCACAAAAACTAAATGTGGTCTGATACTTTTAAAGAAGCGCACTTAAACCCATTTCTGATAATATAATTTTTAGTATCATTGACATAAGTTTTCCAAGACGTTTCATTTGTGTTGAAACACACAAGAAGTACACTCTTAAGGAGTTCTCTTGAATTATATACTTGTATGTCAAAACCATGTAAGCATGATATATTTAATTAAGACAGATTCATAAAACGATTTTCCAATATATACTGACTTGATTAAATTTTTGAAACAGATGTCTTCTTTTCTTAATGACTATTATCTATGATTTTCAAAAAGATCATCTTTTTTCAACAAATTATCGAAATGCTTTCTGCAATTACTTTATTTGAACTATGGTAAATCTAAAACTTTCACATTGGTTTGAAAATCATAGATAATAGTCAATGAGAAAGGGCATTATTTCATTCAAATTGTTAATTAAGTCCACGTACTGGGGAATCGTTTTATATATAGCAATACATGTTCTGCCTATCAAAATCGTTTATTTTTGAACACATAGATACTTCTATGAAGTCATTTCAATAAAAAATTCTTCCTATGTAGATATTCTTATTGTTTAATTTCTGTTTTTTTTGCTAAATGTTCTGAACAAACTGTCTAGTTTTCGTCCTACTGATGAAAATGAAAAAGTATAATTTTCTATTTTCGAAATAAATTACAATCAACAACACTCCATACACTTTATTAATCATAACTAATTAATCACTTTTTCATGTTTTTCTTAGCTTTAGCACCTTTCAAAGCTCCTAATTTAGCCGCATTCATAATATTCTTAAAGTGACCAGCAGCCTTGAGTTTTTTTCTAAAAAAAGTAAATAAAATTGGTTAATACAAATGAATCACGAATACCAAGAAAAATTACCTTTTATTGAGAGCTGTTCTTTTCAAGGGTAAGTATGCATAGGGATCGACTTTGCCCTTCTTTTTGACATCACCTTTGGCTTTTTTTGGCCGGTATTCAGATCCTGGAGTACTATAGCTGCTGTGAACTGAAGAAGTTGAAGCACCAACTTTCCTGGAAATGAAATCACGTTTTAGAATACGAAAAAAGTTAAAACCATCTGTGAATATGTCCTTAATCATGGTTCGAAACTGAATATAAATAAAACCTTACATTTTATCAAATACAAACAAAAATTTGCTCAGTTTTCGATGACGACTTCGAACATATATATTTTTTTACCAAATATAAAATTTCTTACCCTACAAACTATTAAATAATTTCATTATTCCGATAATTTTGGTCGATATATTGAACAGGGTTGTTACGGATACAAAAAGTTTGACATCTGCTAATGCAGATTAGATAAGCAAAGGATATTTTGAAGACATTTCATTTTGAAGTACATATACATAAATGAATCTCAGGACGACTTTGATTTGTATGCAAGATTTTGTTACTGAAGTGCTCTTTCTATTGGTAAATTAGAGAAAGAAGCGTATCAGTACGCGTCACTCTTATCTTGCCACATCCTTTACATATCATTACTTGTTTGCGGCAGTCAGATTCAAATCTGCATCCCTAAAAACTTCACATTGAATGATATGGATGCAGATGCCAAAATCCGTAACACCCCTAATATTGAATTGATCCCAGCTTTACTTTTTTACTTCTGAAAAACAATCGAGTGACACCTATTTTTATTTCAACATAACTCTACACTTCTTAGTCAAATATTAAAAAAAAAACACCCACTCACCTATGAATACCAACACCTCCAGTCGCATATTTGCTATTAACTGAACTAGCTCCGCTCTTGACGCTGGCTGAACCTCTCTTCCTTTTACGGTTGGTTAACAGCAGAGTTTCGGCCTTGCTCTGTGTGTCGTCATCAGAATCACTATCCGAACCAAAGTTGAGTTTATTTTTCTTTTTGCTTTCAGTTTCGCTATCGGATGATGAATCATCTTTGATTATGATCCTACCGTCAGGTGCAGTTTTGAAACCTCTGTCTTTTTCTTTTTTCTTGGTTTCCACAGCAGGCTGTGGCACTTGTCCTGGTTTGGTGGCTGAAATGGAAGGATACATTTCAGAAAAAATTTGAACCTGATTTGAAATCAGTGGGGCAAATTGATATTGGTCAAATTTTACTTTTACATAACACAAATTATCAATAAATCATGAAAAATGAAATGGGAAATTTCTTTTCACTTCCATTTTCTGATAATGTTGATAACGTTTGGTATCTCAGCTCGGATTTTGTTCTCTTTAATCGTAATTCTGGCCTTGAAAGCCTGTTCTTATATAGGTCCCAGTATCGAACCCTGTGGTACCCCCATTTTTGTTTGCAGATCAGATTTACCTCAATCAGTTATTATTTCTGGTGTACCGTTAGGTAAGACAATCAATTTGTGTGACTGTCCAAGAATTTCTATTCCCTCTAGTTTGAGAAGTTAGAGATTGTGTTCCAGTGTATTGAATGCATGACTAAGATCTTAAAAAAGCCCTATGGAATTTTGTTTGTTGTTGAATAAGTCATAGACAAACTCTAATTGAGTAAACATAAGAAAAATGGTAAAAATGGTGAATTGGGAATGTTTGTCAACTTGGATTATTACAGCAAATGCAAGTTTGAACAAAATAAAGTTGAGTTTAATTCATGAGTTTTTCAAATTCACTACGAAAAGTATTCAAATTGATGTTTCAAATGTTGGATTTTAATTTTTAAAGGGATTTGTTTCTAATTCACATATTGGCAACAGCGCCTATATCAAGTTGAAATAATTTATACGTACCTAGATATTCTACTTAAAAAAAGGAAAATTATTTTTATAAATCAACAATTAAGGCAAAATATAAATTATAGTTCAATACCACCTCCACAAGCTACATAAACAACAGTTGTTTTGTTATTTATTTATATAGAGGAAGATAGGTTAGGTGCACAAAATGTCATATGTCACAGAATGTCTCGGAACTTAAGTAAACAGAACAGCACGCCTCTGAAATATGCCATCTTTATTTGTCTCATACAGGTAACAGATTCGTTGTCCTTTATTAGCTATAACCGATGTTGCCAAATGGTGAAATAGAAACGAATCCCTTTAAATGTTGAATGCACTATTTCATTCCTCTTTTTCAAGTATTTAAATAATTTTTTAAAGAAAAAGGTTGAAACGATAAGTTTAAAATGCACTGTTTAAGAGCTCTTCTATGAAAACTACTTGATTTTCGTCAGGAGGAGCATTCCCCATTTTCAAATTTCGCGGGCTACATATAACAACCCTCAGAAGTTGAAACTTGTGTGAGCTAAGGATTAACGAGATCTTATCTTTTAACGTGTGATTCCAAACACGGGTGCTCAAAAAAACTTGAAATGTTCCAAAATTGTAGATGTTCAGAGATCAGTGCTTCAACAAACATTATTTTTATTACCCGATTCACAAGTAGTAAAATATTGCAAGTTCATTATGAAGTGTTGTGTGAAGTTTAAGTGAAATAAAACTGCTTCAGTTTGTTGTACTAGGTAATACATCTGTAAAATTACTGAAGGCGTGTAAAAAACATACCTGTTATTTTACTTCTAACGGCAGGGTCAGTGAAATCAACGATACTATCAGAATCTTCCTCGATCCAGGTGTCCACTTTCTTCTTGCCTTTGACCTTAGGCTGGTCTGTTTCCATATCCTCAAAGTCTGAATCCGAATCTGCCAAGATTTCTTCCACGCTAAAAATAAATTAAAAAAGTTATTCCCCGCCCACCTAACTTCAAGCGTGTTCCTTTTTTCATCGCACAAATATCACCAGTATATTGTTAAAGCTGTCACTGATATTTTAGTGAGGACGAATTGTGCCCACAACTTTTCTTTCGTTTGAAAAAGTAATAAAGTACGTTGCCATATGTTGCCAATAAAGTTAATAAACTCTCCATATTTCAAATCATATCATAAGCAATGTAGAAAAATAACAAACCCTAATGAAATACTTCTAGAAGTTCTAGATTAAAACTTTTTTCCATTTATATAACTTGAATGGCTGCCATTACTTTTTGTCATTTGACAGCTAACAGGAATTCATCAGATTCTCGGATGATTACAAAAGGTGAGTTTATCCTTAAAAAAAGGAACGCTCATTTCAAGTTACAAGAATCTCCTTTTTAATCATAAAAAGAACAAACCTCTTAGGTTTCGCTTTCACGGCAAAGTCTTCTTCCTCACTAGACTCCTCTCCCTTTTCAGCATCCCTCATCCTCTTTTTGCGAGCGTTCAGTTTCCTCAAGTTCTTCAGTCTCTTATACATGACTACGTCAGTGTGCGGTACGAATGGCGTCAAAGAGTCGCAACCGTATTTCCTGACCAATCTATCCAGTATATCCCTAGTTTTGAGCCTGAAATGGCGTTTGCAGTCGTCAGTCATGCCCGTTAAAGTCTTCATCTGAGGAAAAATAATGGATTAGTTTGGAACGGCGTTATTTTAATTTTGTATGAAATCTTACGATAAGTTCCAGAGAACTGGCAACCATGGGACTAGGAAGAGTTGTCATGTATACTTTTACGAAACTGAGGCAGGATGCTACCACCTCCCTGGTAGCAGAGGCAGCTAGGGTACAGATGTTTTCCATGATGAATCTAATGTTGTCCATTCCCAGCGCACCTAAAAATTTAAATATTCAAATTTTTTGTTGATACTATAACAGTACGAAAATGTCCTGTTCCAGACATTAAAATGCGTCAAATAAACTGATGCCTTCAAAATGAAATTTATTAATAAACATTCAAAAAAGGGAAGGACCAAAAATGGATCCTTGAGGTACTCAAAAACTATTTTTTTAAAACTCTTGTTTTTATATGCAAACACTTATTCAAGAAGATATTCTCTATAAATGTTTTGAACAAATCCAAAGACAAGAGACAGCAGTTTTCATTAGTATTGAATTTAAATATTACTGGAGTTTTTCCCCAACACCAAATCGTTATTTTTAATACCGCGACACGTGTTTCGATCACCAAGTGATCATCTTCAAGAGGAAGATTGAACTGGAAACTTTGCGAAGCTAACCCACGTATTCCAAAAACACTTTATTGTGAGATTTTCACTAAATTGTTTTACAAAAACGCAACACGTGTTTCGCCATACAATGGCTTCATCTGGCGTGTCTTTCAACTAATTCTACACATTCAATACTAAATATATATATAGTTTATGGAGTACCTGAAATAAGCAGAAGGACACGAGTTCAATCATGAGTACGAGGTGTTACATTTAGAAGAGAAGAGTTTGAAACTTAATCATCTAGAATGTTTAGAAATCAATAGATTCAGGAATTCGGGTAATTTACTGTATTTTTCAACTGTATTTTTCAGAACCCCATTTATATTGTAACACACTATGAACTCACCTGAGAAATTGTGCAGAACGGAAGCCAATGCCAGTACGGTACAACTCATAAGCTGTGCACTGCCCGCTAAACCAGCAACTAGCAGCGTAACGAACTCCTGCATCTTATCATGCTCCATAAAAACATTTCCTATGTTATTCAGGAGCTCGTAAGCAGTAGCCCGACACCTTTCGTTGACATCCTTACAGCACAGCACAACTTCCGGTACCACAGATTTTATGAGTCCGCTGTTGTGGTTCAACTGAGGCTGCGCTTGTATCAAATAGTTGAGACACCGAAGCCTGGCGCCCTTGCTCGAGACTGCGGCGCTCTGCAAGGTTTCCATCAGTAACCGCTGAACTTTGATCCTGTTGTTTTTGATAAACTCGCGGCAACCTTCGGATTTGCTGCCGCAAATCTCTTCCAGCAACCGATAGGCTTTCTTTTGTTCCTTTCGGTTCACTATGTTAGGAAGAGAGTTCACGCACTGTTCGTAAAGTAAGGTGACATTTTCGCAGCTCTGATACGGAACTAAGGCTTTGATTAGATCCAAAATGCTCTCTTTGATGAAATGATCCTCAGGTTCGTCTGAGGAACTGTTGAGCCTCTCAATCGCATGATTGAAAAGCTGTTGGTTTAGTTCGGGCCTGGCGATAGACAAGTATAGCTGAAAATAGAGAAACACAAGATAATTGCATACCAGAACTGCTTAGAGAATTGGAAAAAACGGAGGCACAAGTGAATTATATCTGAGGGGGACTACTTTGAAGGGGATAAAATTGAAATTGATGATATATACGATGAAGAAAAATAAAAATTCTTTTTTTTTTAAACAGACCTCATATATTCAACGTGCTCAACAAATCAACTTTGTGTTACGAATAACTTTTGCTTGTTGAAGTTTATGATAACAAAACTAACCTTAATAGTATCTAGAGCTGCAAGTCTTTGTCCCTCTTCGTCGGTGCCGATGGGCTTGGTAGTGTAAACATTGAATAAAATGGGAAGATAATTTTTATCAAATCTTCTCAACTCTTCCAGGTCTTCCGAATTATCAGAATCTTTGGCGCTGGCAATGAGTTTTCTCAGAGATGCCATCACCGCCAATCGGAGATCTTTTTCATCAGATATCGCCGTACCCATCACTTTGGCAACGGACTGAAAATAAATCACATCAAAAACAATTCAACAAGTTCACAACTAATTGTGTCTCATTACCTTGAAGTTAGCTTTGATATCTTTGGGGTGGTTACAAAAACAAGGCAACAAATTCCAAAGCTGAAGGTACAACAGTTCCGAGCTGTGAGCTCCAATTCCATCGTTTTCTTTGGCTTGCTGGGTAGCTCTCCTGCGGCAAAATACAGCCAGGGGTATGATACCCTTGACGAAATAGTCCAAGGTAGAATTTTTTACGTTTTCCTTGAGAACGGGAAGCAACCAGGACCTGTCTATGTTCAATAATGGATGTTTGTTGGTTGGTTGGTAAGTGATAAACTTCTACATCGCTCAACCGATCGTGATGAAACTTGACATATATAAGTAATTTTTCCTAGAGAAGGCTTTTAGGCTATCAATTTTTCTGTAACTCGCCACTAGATGCCGCTGTAGAACAATTTTTTAAAAGCACTGTTCTATAACGCTGCACACGCCAAAGTTCGTTGATTCTGATTCTGTCAAAATATTGGAACAGCAGCAATACAGCAACATAGTACTAGTTATTTATATGACCTACTGAGGCTGGATGCGAGAGAGGAAGTAAGGAAAGGAAGGGATACAAGTGATGAGAATAAGCAAAAAAAAATAAGAAGAGAAAGAAAGCTCAAAAACAAAAGGGAAGAATAAAAGAGAATGGACAAGTAAAGGAGGGGAGAGTAAACAAGAGAAAAAAGATAAAGAGCAAGAGGTATGTTTATGTTGAAATTGTATGAATATTAATATAACACTGTGAAATAAAATAGACGTTAATTCGACAGTAGTAACAAAGTCACAGTTTGTATTGCTGAAATTGTTTTCTTTGAGATGCTCAAACTTAAAATTTGTTAAAATTATATGAAATTTGAAATTAAATTCATTTTCAAAACTTCACAAAAGTAAAAGTTGAGACAAGAGAAGAAAACAGGGGCGGGAGAGTGGAATGAAACAGAGCAAAGAAAGAAAAATCACAAAGATATAGAGAGCGAAAGTAGAACAGATGAACACAAAGAGATTGTTGGACAAATAGGAATAGAGGAACTGTGAGGAACGGGAAAGAAAAAATAAACGGGTGCAAGGGAGAGAGAAAAAGCAAGAGATGAACAGAGAATAAGTACAGAGAGAATGAGAGAAATGACGCAAAGAAAATAAGATCAAAAAAAGCAAAAAGTAGAGACAAAATAATATGCAAGGTGAGACAAAGGAGAAGACAAAGGGAGGAGAAAATGTAGGAAAGAGAAAACCAGAGAAAAGGTCTAGAGAAGAGACGGAGGAAGAGAAAAAAAAGAAATTGAGGAGATGAAAGTTAGAGGCAGAGGGAAAACAGGCAAATATTAATGGGGTGAGGAAACGACAAGATGAGGGAAAAATAAATAGATGAGGAAAACTGGCGGAAGATAAAATGAAAGAAAAGTGATTGAGACAACTGGAGGAAAAAAGTTCAGTTGAAGAGAGATAAAAGGAGAAGAATGGGTGACAGTATATTCTTATTTTCAGTACAGAATCTCCAAGAACCCTATGTTGATATAAGTAAAAAATTAAGAATGAGACGGAAGATAAAATGAAAGAAAAAAAGCGATTGAGACAACTGGAGGAAAAAAGTTCAGTTGAAGAGAGATAAAAGGAGAAGAATGGGTGAAAGTATATTCTTATTTTCAGTACAGAATCTCCAAGAACCCTATGTTGATATAAGTAAAAAAATCAAGAATGAACTCCTCCCTCTCAGGATAAACTTTAATAAATTGAAGAATAGTAAATTGTTGCATTTTGTGAGAAAATTTGTGAATGAATATATTTTGTAGAAATATATTTTCAAAACATTACTCTTACCTTTAGTGAAATTACTTCCAATACAACCTCAGGACCCATCGACCTTATAGCTGCTCCCACTCCATGTTCCAGTTCATTATTATAACTGAATTTATACGAGTCTCTTAGTTCCGCTAACGACTTCAGCAAATCCAACAGCATATCGCTACAATGCGTACCTGCAACCTTCAAGTCAACATTTTGAATAAACTTACTAGTAAACTCATCTTATACATCTGCATAGCAATGTTATATTACTTGGACAAAAGAAAACAATAATTAATATTTCATTATCAAAATTTCTTTTACAGGGTTCAAATATGAACTTGTCATCTAGGGAGGCAAAACCCTTGTTATTAAGAATGAATGAATGAATTAATTGTATCAACCCTGAATTACAATTTCTGTTTAGGTACTTCCCACAGTAAATATGAAAAGTATACATACACTAAATAGAAAAAAAATTACACTACAACAGTTATGACTCACATTGAGACATTAACAAACATCACTATACCTATTATATAGTAGGTAGCAGATCGAGTAAGGTCGGTCAACTTCCGAACACTTAACAAAAATCACCAGTAGAAGGCAAATGAGACGAAGGTCTTTCCACTCACTAGGCAAAGTGTTATAAAATTTTTATAAGAAAAAGTCCATTTGTTTGACTGTATTTAGATAATGCATCTTCGGTAGCCTAATGTCTTTGTGTTTTGTGCCATGATTGTGAATCCTGGTGCCACTATTATACTTATTTTCATTTTTATGTACAAACAATATTTCTTCTAGAATAAAAACGGAATGTTATGTAAGTATTCCGACACTATATATTGGAAAACAATGTACAATATTTTCCTGTAACTCTTGTAAATGCCCAATGAAGTTTTTGTCATTGTTACAAATTTGGGATATTCTTGCGATCAAGTACTTTCTGACCTATCTCTTATACATATCACTGTGTATATGAGAAATAATGACGGAAAACTAGAAAATTGTAATTAGAATAAAACGTATAACAAGCAATTTGACTGAGACAACTAAAATCGGAGTAAAATAATAAGTGCAATCAAATATTCAGATATTTACAAGTAGAAAACAAGTAGAATAGTGAATGAAAAAAGTTACACACACAACACAGCCATAAATTATTCACGGACCATAAATTGTCTTTGAAAACACCTTCATTTTGTTGCTTCTTTTTAATAGGAAGTTTTTGTGATTTTTGTGCAACGATAAAAAAGAATAATTGAAATTCCAAGCAAACTCCAAACTAGCTAAGAATTTGTGAATTTTATCAAAAAACTGAAGGAAAAATATGCTTAAAAGTTTAAAAAACACATCTAACCTCGAACAGTATGCTTATAACGTGTAAAACTTGATGCCACACTAGATTGTACTGGTAACCCAATCCAGATTGTATGGAGCTGACGCAACGCTCAATTTTAGATTTATGTTGATCAACAGACTCTTTGGACATGCAAACTGGAGCTAAAACATCTTTCAACAACACTTCCAAAGCGTGAGTAGCACCAGTCATGACTTGGGTTTGCTCAGATAGCCACAGTTGCGTTACAGTGTTGAACAATCTAGGCAGAGCTGCCATGCCCATGGAAACGTCAGCACTGAAAATTAAAGAAAGTTCATTACACAGGTTGGAAAAAAACATTCGCAAACTAAATACAAATATATTCTACATCTTATTTCGAGCTCACAGCATATTTAAGGTAGTTTGCTAACCCATTGTGTGGAGACTAATGATTTAGGTGTACTATGTGACTAAAACAGCATTTGCCAAACACATAAACAAAAAAGTTTCTGAAGCCAATAAAATGTTGGGATTTATCAAACAAAATTGTCAAAACTTCACTACGCCTTAGAGATATTATACTTATCATATGTCAGATACAAGCTTGAATACTTCTCAATTTTTGGATCCCTACTATTTCTGTCATGAGTTCTCAATTGAAAAAGTTCAAAGAAAATTCTTGAAATTCTTGGAATTTATCCAACTAGGGGTTCTGACCACAATAGCCTTCTTAACCACTTTCAATTAATGGCCATAAATAGTTTTACTATCAGTGTTCTTTCTGTTGTTTTCTAAAAAAGTTATATATCATTGTTATATTATATGCGTCCATTAGTCATTGGACCCCACTGGATGTATATCCGGATAACCTTCAATGGTTATTGGATTAGCCAGTTCAAATATCATTCTTCTCAGTCGTATGGGGGTGTGAGGCAACTTATGGTCATACATATACATATTATCATGTCAAGATTGAACATGATTTGTTAATTTATTATTTTATCTACTACTTATCTACTACTGATGTATTTAATTATGTCCTGTAATTAGGTGTTTCCTATTGGGCAGTAAATGACATTATTATTATTATTATTATTATTTATGGAGAATGTGTATATATTCTATTGACTTCATAACTATTAATGATAATGGAGTACCTCAGGGTGTACTTTGGGACCTCTACTATTTTCACTCTATATAAATAACATACAAGGTCTGATAAAAAAAGTATATGTACATTCGATTAGCAAGACTAGCGAGAATTAATAAATATAGAGAATAAAGCATAACGCGTTTTCAATTTTCAACAGTAAAAATATTATTATTCAAGTTGCAGCTAAACAACCTGAAATAATAAAATACTTACTCCGCCAAATGGACATGAGCCTGTTGCATGACAGCCAACCATGCTAGAGTAGGTTGAACGTCCGAAATTGATGGCTGATATTCATATAATGCAGATATCAACTGGGCATTCAACTTGGCAGGCACCACCACTGACTGAGCCGAGAAAAGCGCATGCAATACTTGTAGACCGCAAGAAGTGACTATGGGATAGTTCAGAGTCATCAGACGTAGAATAACTTCACAGCATTTCTGAAAATGAGTTTCAAATTATAAAATTCAGTGTACATTCATCAGTTGATTTTGATATAAGGAAATATCAGTATTGAAATAGACAAGTTTGTTAAAAAAAACTAAAAATATTTCAACATTATATGCATACAATAATAATAGTATTTGTAAATACAGTATTTTATAATAATAGTAAGTGTAAATACAGTATTTCATAATAACAGTCAATCATTATTATGAAGGGTTATTTTGTTTTGGTGATTTATAAAAATGTTTTGGAATTTGAGTAGTTTTGTCTATGTTTTTACAAACGACTATTAGATGGCGCTCCTGGAATGTGCTACGATATTAATAAAATCCGCCATTTAGTATGCAAGACCACACCTCAAGTCAGAATATAAACTACTTACTCTCAATTGAGGTCAAAATTCAGGGTTGAGTTGAAAAACAGCTTTAGCTGATATTTCACCCTTTTGCCATAAGGTGTTCTTCAATTATTGTAAATACAAATACGATATCTTCAATCCCTTGTGACAAATAAAGTTGATTATCAAATATTCCAGTAACCATTGAATTGGCAATAGCTCAAAAACTCTTTTCTATTGCTACATAATGAATTTGATAACAAAAGAGAACAAATAGGTAAAGCATACATTAACTGTGACATTATGAATGGGAAAGGGAATGAATATTCCCTTTTCAATGCCTCAATTGAGAATCAGTTGCAATTAAGTAGTAGTGTATTAAGCACTTTAGATAATTTCACTGTTATGTAAATCACAAATCTCAACTCAAGTGAAATTTTATCCCTGTCGCAATTCTGTGAATATCTGAATAAATTCCATAACGAAAGTTTGGAGTATAAACTGAATAGAAAAAAAGTGTTTTTGTATACAATGTTCATATGAAATTACTTGGTTTGAAGTAATTTTTCTTTGTGTAATTCAATGTTTATATGAAACTAGTTTCTTCAAGTTTGTGTCTGAAACTAACTTCTACGCATTGTGTAAAGATTTAGAAGTAGAAGCGATTTCTGCAAAACTGTTCATGAATTAACTAAGTGTCTTTTTGATGTGTTCCTTTTACAAAATATTTACCTTAATGTGAGCTTTGGAGAACTTGCAAATGATTTCTTTCATTAGTCCAAGGGTGTGCAAAATTGTTGTTTGACCAGCTTGTACGGAAGACACAAGAACTGTTCCTGAATCCCCTCCCATGCAAGTATCAAGAGTTTGTTCGCAAAACTGAGCAGCTAGGTCAGCGGCAGGATTAGAACTATTTTCCTTGACAAAACAACCGGTATTGACTATGACAGCTACAGCGTGCTGGGCAGCTTTCCTCCACTTGAATAAAATAATATGTTCCATAAATCACTTTACTGTAATGTTAATACATACCTTTGGCTTTGAATGTATACAAAACAGGTTCAATATAGTATTGAAGACCTGACTAGTAGAAGTGTTGTTCCATACAGCCAATTCCTGTATTTTCAATAAGGTGGCCAAAATACCAAGTACTGACTTGATGATGACATTGTTTTCTGATTCAGAGAACTCTTTCATGATGTGTAACATTTTTATAACAACATCGTCAAAAGTCTTCTTTAGCACTCCTGTTGGTACCGTTTTTATACCCATGTTCAACAATGATAGTACAGCCGTTATTTGATCTTCGTTTTTCTCATCTGAATTATAAACCTGTTCCAAAGTCTTCAACTGAAATTTAAATCATTGATTAAGGTTAAATCAATTAATAAAAATACTTCATTTCTACATGCCTGCAAAGGCAATATAAAATTGACTAGAAATTGTCAATACATTAAAAAGAAGAGATAACAATTAGCAATTAGGTGTGATTATCTAGAAGGACTTGTAAATAATATAGTTACCAATGCACAGTAATATTCGGTAGAAGACTCAGATCCCTCCATATCTTTGATGACTTCGGCTATGGCTGCTAAAATGGCCAGCATCTGTTTATGCAAGGCAGAATCTGAATTATACACGTTTAGAAATCTATTGAAGGACATGTTACTGCAGCCAGACCATTCTGAGGCAAATGACTGCATAGTTTTGTAAGACTGAGAACCAAGAGAAGATTGGGTATCTTCTTCCATTTCAACACTTTCTTCTTTTTGAGGTGCATAATTCTGGATTTCATGTTTTCTCACGGCTTCCGAAGTTAATTCACTAGGCCCTGGAAATGACTTATGTAAATGATAAGTAATGAATAGGTAGTTGAAACTAACCTAAATTTTCTTGAAAAAATCGTGATTTTGCGATGTCCCTATATTTTCGAGTTTCGGGGTTAGAGCTGGAACTCTGCCCTTTTGGCCACCGCTTCCCCTTACTCCCTTTCAGTTTGCTCCTTATTTTAACCATACTTATGTTGACAAATTCACATGTGCTTCTCAAAAAAATGACAGGCCGACACTTTAGAAAGTGACAATTTGCGAATAAACATTTGAGAAGATAGACGAAAATCAAGTGACAGAAATCTTCTTCTTTCTTATTTCATGACCTTAACCAAAATTATATCATCAGACAGAAACACTTTATTCAAGGAGCAGTGTGAAACTGGCTGCTAAAGTTAGCTGCCAAAATTTCCGAATACTTCAGAACGTTTAGTAGCGTACGGAGTAAAAATTATAATTGATACATTTATGTCATGATGTCATGAATAAACTTGGAGAAACTTCACAGATCCAGCAGAGGGTGAAACTTTACCCTCCTAAATGATATCAAATGATAATCACTTTGTAAACTAGAGATTGAATGTATGTAGACTCGTCAAAATAAACACTTGGAAGGAGAAATGATTACCACTGATAATGTTCACCATGTTAACTGATTTCTTCGGTATATATTTCAGTTTATGTATAATCTGCACAAAATTTAGCAACGAAAATATACTAAGAATCATGAAATAACAATAATAGAAAGCAACCAATCTGAAATAATCGCTTGGAAAATAGGTTTACAAGGTGAATGGAATTAATTGAGTTGACTGCTTTCTTACATATAATTCAATTTTTCATATACTCTGCACAAAATTTAGTAACGGAAATCGATAGAAAATCATGAAGTAACAATTGAAGAAAGCAACCACTGCGAAATAATCGTTTGCAAAATTGGTTCACAGGGTGGAAAAAAATAATGAAGTTGAGTCATTTTTTTACGTAAATAATTCAGGTTTTTATGTACTCTGCACAAAATTTATTAACGGATATTAATAGAAAATCATGAGGTAACAATTGAATATTACTGGAGTTTTTTCCCAACACCAAATCGTTATTTTTAACACCTCGACACGTGTTTCGATCACCAAGTGATCATTTTCAAAGAGGAAGATTAAAACTCAGTTTTAATTTTTACTTTTATATTTTATTTTATATTTTTAATGCATATTCAAGGAGGCCTTTGACACTATCCTCATCACAAAACTATATAAGATATGAATTTAAACTATGCTAAAAATCGATTGAACATTTGCTAGTACATGAAAAGTGAAATATGGATTATGTATAAGAGCATTTATATACAGTATTATTTGAAATTTGATATCACAACACTCAATACTGCACAAAACTGCAAACTTATTCGATTCAAACAAACATATTTCAAATTATCTAAGAACTATTCGTTCAGGCCAGTCTCAACTCCCTACACAGTAGGTTAATGGTCTGACACGTATCAGAAAACAACTACTCCCCTGGCTTATACCAAAGGGTGTTGGATTATATCTGACAGGTGTCAGTGCAGGATTCTTCACAGAAGTTATTCCTGCATATGCTGTTGGCGATACAACTGTCGCAATAGATTTTCAATTGTTGGAACACACTTGCAGACCGGTTTCGGGCTGTTTGGCTACTCGTCAGTGCAAGGTAGTGTATATCATCAACATAAAGTCGATGATTTCCGATAATTGAAAATCAAATTCCGTCTTCGAACTAATCTGAAGCATACAACAAACAACAGGTTTGTCGTCCCTATATGTGAAAACATATTTCAGTTTATATCCTCATTTGTGGCAAGTTGTTCACCTTCTATCATTGCCGTTCTCGAAAAAAAAAATTCAAATTATAAAATTGTTTCAAAAATGATAAATGAATGTAAATTACATTGTGTAATTGGGCTCGCTGCAAGCGTTTCGGGCGTCAACTCGAACGCAGCATTTTGACAGTATGTCAAGGAGAAGTCAAACTTTCAAACAAGCTCAAACATGTAAATTGTGATTGTTAATGCAAATTGCAATGGGTGGGGAGTTTGAATGTTCAGAGTAAAGTGATTTTTTTCGTTAATTAATTTTTTAAAGTTTTATTATTTTACATTTTCGCGATGCTTCAAGAATACAAAGACGTAATAATAAGAAACTTTGTCATTCTTATGAAAGAATGTGATGTTCATGCTCTTGCAAAATTAATGGTAAACAAAGGAGTTTTCAATGATAAAGAAATAAATAACATATTTTCCGTAAGTACACTATATTCACTATTGCCTTTTCTTTCAGTAATTGTGACTTCTTACTTTGGTGCCTGTTCTTTTTCAGTCTAATGATGAAAGACACAATAAGAGAATATTTTTCTTCAGTATTCAAAAAAAGGATACGAGCACGTTTAAAATATTAGTAAACTCTCTGAGGGAAACAAATCAGAATAAATTAGCTGATCTTTTGATGCCAAAACATACAGGTGAGATTCAAATTTCATTTTCCCAAAATTGTATTCTTAAACCAGTCTCAAGTCATAAGTAGTAAGCAATTTTCCCTTAGCAGTTGGATCATTGCTTTTCAGTGGTAACACTCATAGACGAGCATAGATATTTTATTTACTTATTCATAATGATGTGCAGGGGACATAAGTTTTCAATAGTAATAAATGTAAAACATAAACAATTTAAAATTTACTACCTACTTGAAACTGTTGTATCAATCCTAAAAATCCTCTAAAATGTACAGTGCAGATGTAAAAGAATCCCCTTTTAACTTTTACAGAGAACAAGGCCAAATGAAGTTTATGCCAAAAGATACATCAATCTGTAAACATTTTATTCTAAATTCCATCAACTGGAACTTCAATTGTATATTTTTTAATAACTAGCATTCTAAATAACTAAGTGCAATATATCATCACAGAGACTAAATGCCCAATTGGTGTTCCACAGGGACCCATATTGGGACCACTGTTGTATATATGTTAATGATTTTGTCATCAAAGCTGCATTATGTATGCTGATGATGCTTCTCTTTTACTGTCAGCCATCGCTATTAAGTCACTGTTAGATAATAATATATCAAGACTTCAATACAAGTATCGGGATTCAATATAATCATTTAACAATAAATAAGTCAAAAATGTATTATTTTTATTTGTTTCAATCTGTCCCAGAGAAATCTGGGATCTATTGTCATACTCAAATCTAGTCTGTCATTTTGAAAGAACTCAGTTCAATTTATCTTTTATTCTTACAGGATGTGTGCCGTATCAAGCAGAACAGGTGTTTGATGAACTCCCAGATGATGATATGTTAGATATCAATAGGTTGAACATTTACGTAAATAACAGCACAGAGTCTATCCATGTTAAAGTCATTCCATCAACTAAATTCTATGATACTTATTTGGATAACCCGAATATTGATTTTTATTACACCAGATCGAAAAAAAGGGGACGGGTTCTCATTATCAATAATTATGAGTTTGATAAAATCGATGATAACAAACATCCGTACAGAAATGGGGCCGAGGTGGATAATGAAAATTTGAAGAGTTTGTTCATTCAGATGGGAGGTTGGGAGATTGAACACCACAACAACAAATCAGCTAGTGTAAGTTTAGGATTGGTCAATATTGAAATTCTTGGTGGAATTTTTAGTTTTGAAAAATATTTGTTTCAATGGTCCATTGACTTTTGACTAATCATATCTTCAAAAGTAGTCCAGAGCCTCTAGTTTTAACTTCAGATTTGTGATTTGCAGACAAAAGTACACATGTATAATTTTTTTTCTAAAAGCAGTTCAAACCATTGAAACAAATATTTAGTGTTATATATGAATCTTTTAAGATGACGTTTTCATTTTCAGGAAATGGAAATTATTTTGAATAATTTTTCTCAACAACGAAAGAATGTTAATTACGATATAATTTTTGTGATAATTATGAGCCATGGAAGCGAACAAGCTAATGATACTATCATTTATGGAAGAGATCATAATTATATTCATTCCTTACAAATTCAGAGGAAATTTTCTAATGAACATAGTAAGACCCTGCGAGGAAAGCCCAAGGTTTTCATTTTGCCAGTATGCAGGTAATTTGATTTTTTATTCGAGTGTAAGTATGTGATGGAATTAGTTAATACTTGAGAAAAATCCTCAATGAACAAGACAACAAGTTTAAAAAAGGAACATTGAATATATTGTTGAATATATATTATTTTGAAGGATTCTAAAAGATAGGGTTCTTCAAACTTTTTTCCTCCTTTATATATCAAAATTATAGAAAGTTTAAAGAATCACTTTCACATAAAAAGTAGTTGAAAAATATAAAACGTGGGTCTTTCCTCGTTGAAACAAAACTGTACATGTAATCTAAAAAACTTGAATTCTAAATCAAGGTAGATAGACTTTTGAAGAAATGTGAAAATAAGATTTTTCAAGTTGAAAAACCCTATCACTTATTCACAAAATTGTTATTATTAATTATGAAAATCATTTTAAATTAAAAAACTCGTAATATCCAAATTGAAGAACAAATTAAGCAATATAATATTGAGTGCAATCTTTTACTGAATGGATATAAAATGGTTCCTATAAAAAAATCATATTAATGACAGCTTCCAGTTTATAAAGGCGACATTTCAGTGGTGAATAATTCGCTATTCTTTTCAGAGGCTCAGTTTTGGACATAGCTGTACCACATGATCAACGTCCCAGAACAGAGACAGACTCTGCTTTTAGAAAAGGAGAATCGAAAAGCCCTGTTTCTTCAATCATAAATCTTAGGTCCGAGGAAGATATGTTGGTTGGATATTCCACATTACTTGGTATGCATGAGAAAACTTTGTAGTGTCATTTTGTAAATGCTCCAAAAATTGAAATTTTCTTTTATAATTTGCACGTGCAAATTAATACTGAACATTAAAAGAGTTTTATGAATGAGTGCTTAACAAATCCATCAAACTTTCTCACTTATAGGTTACAAGGCTCATAGAGACCCAAATCGAGGATCTTGGTATATCGAACTGATGTGTGATGTATTCATGAACCACGCTCATGATACCCCTGTCGATAATCTCTTGAGTATAATAGACAATCGCCTTAGAAGGAGAATGTCGGAGAACCAAACTATGCAGACAGCGGAACACCGGAATAAGGGTTTCAAAAAATTGTACCTGCATCCAGGGATTTTCTCTGAAAATGATGACATGAAGAAATTTCATGAGTAGTTTTTCGTAACACTGCCTATTTTTTAATAAGATACATCGATATATTTTTACTATTAAGATTTACATTGATATTTTGTTGAGATATATTTTTATGTTAATTTTACATATATGAGGAATTAAACTTAACAATGTTGGAAGTAGTTTCATTTCTGATACTTTCAATATTGTGGATTTCACAAATATAAAACTTGAAAAAAACTTACACATTAACCTTGATGGGGCCGAGTTTGTTGAAGAAGTTTTAAATTACAAAATTTATAACCTGTTTATTGATGTAATGATTATGATTATTACTATATGATGTCGCCAAGCGATTTGCCTATATCAACCAGTTCAAATCTTGATCCCTAATTTGAAAGAACCTGAAAAGAAAGTGTTTTTTACAGAGAAGGATACTTCCAAATGCCAGTTTTAGATTTAGTTGTCCACAATTATTTTTCTAGTAATATAATCTTCAAAATTAGTATATATACAATTTGTTGAAATAACTTGAAGGGATATCAAAAAAAAAATTATTAAGGAACTGAGATGAATGAATCTCATCTTCTAACTTTCATCTTTGACGAATAATCTGGCTATCATTTCAGGTGGTATATGCAGGTTGTTCAAAAGTGTGTTCATATTTATTGGACTGTGAGCTTGCAGCTGAGCCAAAAGTCCGTTCAATCCCTTGACACAGCCTTCTCTAAATTTGTTAGTAAGTTGTTCTAGTTCTTCAACATTATGGATCGACTTATAAACTGAGGCCTGTTTGAGATTCTCAAGTGTTTTTCTCTTTTCTTTGACGTGTTTTTCCAGAACGGTAATTTTTTCAATCAACTCTTTCTTTTCGTTTTTGTCTCTGTCAGGAGTGGATGTGAAAGCATCATCTTCATCTTCCAAAATGTCAAGAGAAGATGGTTTCGTAGGCTGGAAGTTTTCTTTCAGGATGGTTATTTTAGTTTCTAATTTTGTCATAGCTGGGTTCTTTGAAGTCCTCACAAAATCATTGTCACTGAGAGGAGAGGTTTCTGTTATTTGGTCCACTTTGAAGTCATCTTCATCGTCTGAAACTATTACCAATTTTTTCTTCTTGACCTTTGTTGCAATTTCATCTTCAGATGAGTAATTTGAATTGTTCTTCATTACTTCATCCTCACTCAACTTATGTAGAGGAATTCTGCAGTTTTTCAAAGTATCAACCATGTTTTCACTATTCACTTTGGAGATTGGTTTTGGTATTGTTTTCTTTGCCATTGGTGTTTCTGATTTAGTGCGTTTCAGTTTTGGCTTATTCTTCTTTCTGGGCAGAAAATCTTCATCAGAATCATATACTACTTTGGCTTTTTTTGATCTGGAAATAACGAGACTATCACAGGAACTTAAATCATCTTCCACAACAGGCGTAGCTGGTATGTTTTCCAAATTTGGGATTTCGTTATTTTCTGACTTGGTATTTGGAGATTCCAGTATAATTTTCTCTAATTTACTTTTTTTTTCACTGTTCAATGTGTGGCTAAGTTCCACTATTTTCCTTTCTTGGAGTTTCAAAGAATGCGAGTCATTAATGACTGTATCTTCTAACGAAAGGCTCTTCTTAGCTTTGCTATCACTGCTTGCAATCCTCGTAACCTTTTCGCAACATTCACTCTTCACTACTTCATCTTTCATAGGACTATCAAAATTCATTTTACTTTTTCGCTTGTTCTTTCGATTTTTTATATTAACAGGCGTTGTACCATTTATTTCATGGCCTTTTTTTGACATCCCATCTTCTTTCATGGGGCTATCGAAATCCGTTGCATTCTGCCGAGTTTCTCTAATTACAGGTGTAGATTCCAACCGTATGGGGCTGCTTATACTGGAATTTGAAGATATCGAAATATCTACTGGTAATTTCAGGACACTATTTGGAGTTTTTCTTTTTCTGGATAGTCCAACTCTTCGGCAAGGGGTCAGGAGACTTTTACTTATTGCACCACCAAATGGACTAAACTTATTTAGGGGTACAGAAGTCGTTTGAGGAGTAGTAGGCATGTTCAAGTATTTATCAATGCCCCTGTACTATATTGTATTATATTATATTATCTTTACTTTTTCACTTCAATACTACTGTGCCACAGAGTTCTGAAATTTTTCAACATATTTATATTTGTTTACATTTTTCATGGATAACATAACCTCAATCACAGTATTTCTGTATACAAAATACTGTGCCTCAATATTCTTCTACTGTTATTGACTTTTGAATCTATTCGGTGCATTTACCCATTCCTCAATATTAATCTGAAATAGGAGTGTCGGGGTGTCCATGATCGATGGACATGCCCCAACAACATGGTTACATCTCACATGTCTTCGAGATATCACGATGAATATCGCAATATATTGCTATGAGACGTCAAGAAGACATCCTGTTGACGTCATACTCATTTTATGGGGATAATTCAACGTTACTTTGATGTAAAAAAAATCGAATCAAAAAGTACTTTATTTGAAGATACGGGCTCTTTCAAAAATGGAAGAAGCCGCCTAATTTGAATGTTGCAAGATGGTGTTTTTTTCTATTGAAAAGTAGTGTTTTAGAATTCAAGGAATTTGAAGTAGTGGAAAGAAAAGAATACAAAGAGGGGGAAATTGAATATATTCTTCTTACAATTTTTTATGTTTTTCATATATTTTTTACAAATAAACAAGAAATTACATAGTGGTAATTTGCATCTTATTTCTAATACAAAACTATATGAATGTTACAAATTATTATTGGTTATTCTTCTGAATACTTCAAAACTTGCACAATCTCCCCTGAAACCTAAAATTCATAGTTAGATTTTTTTCAGTTTCCATGAAGCCTCAACTATATCTTCCACCCCTTCTTTATCAGAACCCACCCCACACTGTATACCTCTCAATCGCGTTGGTCATCTGAAGATCTATTGATGTGATTCAATACTATATCACCTAATAATTTTGATTCAAGTTTTTGCTGGAGAAGCCTAATGGAAAATTCGACTTTTGACTTATTAGAAAAAAACATTTCGGTTAAATGTTTATAGTAAGGAAAAACAATATTTACAAAGAAAAAAATCAGATCGTAACTGGAATTAAAAACAAAGAGATGATTGGATAAATTTTGAAAGTTAAACCGTGATTTAAAAAAGTAATTATCAATATTGTATTCATAAACAGGCGCATCAAAGAACGTTTTTAAAATATTTCCACGGGGACAGTTGAATAGATCAGATGATTTGATGTTTTTTGAAAGTACTTTTCTGATGAAATTTGAATGTGGAAAACAGGATATGGCTATTCATTCGAAAAAACAACTAACGATTTCATATTGGCAAATAATTTTAGAAAAACTCTTGCGTTTGATAAGTTTATAAAATTTGTATACAAAACATGTTTCGATATCTTTACTCGTTCCTGGAAATTAGAAGCTCATTCAATACACGGGTATAACGAGAAATCTTATTTTTGATATTTATATACCTGCTTCAACACTAATATTTTATGGTGATGTAACTTGCCACAAATTTTCACAAAATAACCTACCTACTGGTAAAAGATATCGCCTCACCACCATATCCTCTGCAATGTCTATGTGAGGTTGCAAAACATTAAACTCTTCGATAGAATTCTCACTAGTCACGGTCAGTCCTGAAATAGTGAAAACATAGCTTTTTAGAAATGCCTTTCATTGGCTTTCTTCCATTCGATTCATTAACGTACGAACATTATCATTTATTGCAGTTACTTCTAAATGGTGACTAGCTTGTCTGATGAGCTCTACGAAAATTGTTGCAATTCTCCTCCATTCGTTGATATGTTGAGTCTAGAAATAAATGAATGTTTGATGTATTATTCAAATTTGAATTGAAATTACTAATACTGGACGAATCAAAGTTTCATCGTCCCATCTGACAAGAGGGAAAAATAATTTCTATAAAAGAAACAAATATCAGTCAATGCACAAAAGGCAAATTTACAGCAAATGTTTTATAATGCCTCTTTGAAATAAATGCAAAAACATTTGTTTTTGACAAAATAAATATCTTTTTGTGCTTTAAAAGTGTATTTATGACACATTTCACGAATATTAATCGTTAGATTGTACCGCACTAGTCAGACGGATACAAACAATACTCTGCAGCAGACTTTCAATAGTCAATCTCACCGATGATACTGTATGAATTCTTTGTCTCAAAGAAGGAGTAGGTATTATAAGTTCTGATGTGGTCACTAATTGCCGATAATTTCACTAAATTTTAACAAATCACTACCCTTGTGGTTAAAGTATGTTAGGTTAGGTTAGGTCCAAAGTGAGTGGGTCTATTCAACCCTCCATCGCAACCCACAAGGGTTTATTATGGCTCACACCTATTCACACTCGACCAAATAAACCCAGCTTCTTAACGAAGCCGATTAGTTTGTATGGTGAATGATCTTTCATGTCAGATGGTAAGAGTACGGCTCTGCCGACCTCTTAAAACCTGATTCGGTCCCCAGTAGGGCAGGCACAAAGTATATGCTCTGCTGTTTTATCGTTAAAAAATGATCTTATGGTCGTGTCAAACGGTAATGAAATCTATGGTTAACTGTCCTTATTGCTATGGTATATATTGATCCGTCTGGGAATCACAGGGGTAATTTATACATTCATGCATGTATGGGATCTACTGCAGTTCTGAACGCAATTTCGTATCTTCCATTACAGGTTTTTAATGATCAGAGCTAAATATTCAATTACAAGTAAGAGAGAGTTGACGAAAAAAATAAATGATACGTGTGAATTCGAATTTGAAGTAGTTATTAGTTATAGATAGTTCTGTATCTGTAGAGTAGGGAGGGTGAGTGTAAGCCCACGCACTTAGGCCACATGTGACCCATTGTACATCGTCCCGAGGAGTTGTCCTCCTAGGTCGTCGTCCATCCTGTCCTTTCCAGGAAGGTGGACAGGTCGCTGGGAGACATCTCCTTTATATCGGCAGGTGTAGGCCAAGACTCGCCGAACACACACTCTCTTATTGACGATAACTCCGGGCACTCGCACAGGACATGCCTGACAGTCTCATCTTCCTGTTCACACATCCTGCATAGAGGTGTGTCCACTAGCCCCATATTATGTAGGTGTTTCCTTAGCTGACAGTGGCCAGTCAGAAATCCTACTGTAAGGCGTAGATTTTTCCTGGTCATCGCCAGATATTTCTTCGGTGCCAGCTTCCCAGGGTCGCCCAAGGTGATCCTGGCAAGATTACATCCTTTGATTCCATCCCACCTCTTTAAGAATTGAGCATGGGTGTAACATTTGGCTAGTTCCGCAATTGTCGAAGTCATCAGATCAGGCTTTAGGTGCCACTGGGTCCTAACATTCTTAGTCCAGCCGCTTCCTTGGCTAAAGAGTCGGCAATGCGATTACCTTTACTCCTGTCGTGCCCTTTAACCCACCTCAGGATAATGTTATTATCTACCGAGGCTTTGGCTAAATCTTGGTGGCACTCTAGTGCTAGCCCTGAAGTAACACGGTGTCTGTTCAAGGCTAATAGTGCTTGTCTGCTATCAGTGCAGATTGTTATGTTTTTGCCAGAAATTCTTTTCTTGGTTATTTCTTTTGTGGCGATTGAGATACCAGCCAGTTCTGTTTGGACCACGCTGGTATTTTTTCCCATTCCCCACTTAATCTTAGGCTTAGTGATCTGGAGTACACTCCACATCCTGAGCCTTCTTTGGTTTTTGAGCCATCTGTATAAATCCGTATTGCATTTGTAACATCTGACTCTGTGTTCTGCTTAATTTGTATTTTGTAGGGTTTATTAAACACAAACCTGGGTTCAATTGGATCACTTGTTGCCTGCAGCAGAGGTTGCGCAGTAAGCGCTTCCCGCCATAGGCCCAACCTCAATCGACCCATTCCTACTTCTAGGTTTACACCAGCCGTGTGCAATCGTACCATGGCCATTAACGCAACCTCTTTAACGTGATTAATTCCATTGCCGTGGTTGGTGTTGTTCTCATGGCTCCTGTGATGTTTAAACAAGCCAGTCGCTGTATTTGATATAATTTTTGGATGGCCGTTGCTTGTAGAACTTTCGGTCCCCATGCAATGGCTCCATACGTTAACATAGGTCTTATTATTGCAGATATTAGTTATAGATAGTTGATGTACACATCCACTTTACGAGCTACAGTGGTAGGTATATGGTATGGGTGTCACAGATCCAAGATTCAGTGTTCCAAACCTTCTGGAATCACCCTCAGAATATTTTAAACCGAATTGCATGATATAGACACATGTGCTCATGAATGTCTCGAAGAAGGCAGCACCTACAAAGTGGTACATATTAATCTGAACTAACTTGAGACTTCAAAATCTTAGACAACAAACAGAGAAAACAAGTAGGTAGGTATCATCTAAATGATGTAGTGCAAATATTGTATGGCAACAAAAGGGAATAAAAACCAATTTTACTGTGCATTTGCTCTTTGTTCTTGTTTCTCACCTGTATATTAAAAAATAATGGAAGCATTGATATCGGCAAAGTATTCCCTCGAAGTTCATCAGCAGGTGAAATTTTAATAATTGTATCCAGAAGATGCAGAAGCACCGAGGCCAACTGAAGATGTTTCGCTGATAGTTCTTGTTTCATTAGACCTAGGACATCTGTAGCGACAACTTCTATTGGAACATTTCCATTGTCATCTAAAAAAAAAGATGTTGCTAAAACAAATAACATAGTCCGTATAATTTCGTGGCTTGATGGAGAATAATAACTACTTTTGAATCAACTCTACTGTTCAGTTTTGTTGACATTATTCCGTTATTTTTCCTGGAGACTTGTCATACACCATAAATTTACCTAAAACTAGTGACTGAATTGACGGTGGTATCAGAGGTTGTCCAAGCCTGGTGAGGAAAGTGTAAAGTGCCTGAGATGCTTCTAGTCTCCATCCAGCTTCCAACATACCCCTAATAGTTCTGACGTCACCTTTGCAAATAGCATCCAGAAGCTCCTGAACTACACCCTGGTGAAGAGTGGCTTCAGCTCTGAATAGCCAGCCATGGCCTATGATGTTGACACCTGGAATATTGATAAGCTAAGTGTGTTTTGGAGGTCAAGTGCTGTTAATATCATTATTTCCTAAAGGGAAAGCTGGTCGGGCTCTATCCCCGAAGCTCCGACACAGTCGGAAGGACACACTGACATTGGAAAGACAATAGAGTTGTTAGAAAGGGAGGTTTTGTGATAATGTGTGAAATGTTTATCTTCCACTTTCTGACAATGATGAAGTTTGTTTGCAAATAATTTCATACATTGAGATTGATTGGAAGAACGGTTAAGATTTCCTGTCGATATTTGAACTCCGCCTTTGGTTATCAGTCACAGGATATGTATATTTATGTAACCTGCTTTTCTTTGGAATAATTTCATTAGCTCATTACAAGAATGAGCTCTGGGATAGACTGCGGATGTGGAACGTATACTTCAGGTTTCACGAAACACCCTAACAGTGTTTCTTACTTAGAAAGCACCTTTTCCTATCCACCAGTAGATAAGCAGACGAAGTGCCTTACAATGGCCCACTAGATCACCTGATATGACGCCTCTAGACGTTTTCGAGGGGATACGTGATACATAATCACATCTTGTTTCAGAACTCGTGGTTTGCCCCAGAAACATTTCATACTATAGAGAAAATACATTTGTAAAAAAACTTCATTATTATCAGGGAGCGAATTGTTAACATCCTTTCTAATAAACTGGAATACTTATTTTTCTTGAAATCAGGATATTTATCGTTCTTTTATATATATTTAAAAGTAAAATAAAACTGCTCATTCCATTTCCAAAAATAAAACCGTGTTGAATAGAGAATCACAATACCTATCACCCTATTTTTATTTGAAAAAAGTTCCCCTCAGGGCGGAAAAAATACCTCTTAACGTTCCCGTTCAAAGTTGAGAGGATGGGAATGTTTTATTTTGTTACCATACGACATACTTACTTGTGATGTACTCTCTTTGGGACCTTTTTGGTGTAGGAATGAATATTCCTGGATAACACTCCAGTAATATTCACCATACGACATGGTAACCATAGGACATGGTTTAATTGGAAAACTGGCAGCATTTTCAAATTGGCAAGAAACAGAAAAACAATCGAGTAAACAATTTTTTATTTTTGCAGTGGAATTCTTTTTTTTCTGATGAAAAGTTATGATGAAATGAGCATTGTTTTTGCTTTTTACTTCTCCATCATTATTTAAAAAACCGGAAGAAAACTAGAAGGAACTGAAAGAGAAACTCAAACTTGAACAATCATTTCTAGGGATAAAACCATTACATTACACTAAAAACACTTCGTATTTAGTTAGTACTCCCAAGTTAATTTTTGAATACATTATTTTCCTCATTTCTCTAAAAGTAAGCTGTATTATAACATTTCATATTGTGATTTTATAGAAAACATGGGTACGAATTTTGCTGACGAATTTTAAAGTTGAAAATAATATAAAACTAGTTTTACTATAACGTACCGGGTATTAATGTTCAAACTATTATTCGACAATAAAAAAGCTACCTTTTTAAAACATTCCCTTAACAAAATATATTCTCCAAAAGAGTTTTGAATGGATCAATTTTCTGACGTCATTTTTGTCTTAACTTCTGAACCGCAATACCAATCATAAATTATTTGCAAGTACTTTTCTGACATAACCCAAATCTGGAAAGCAATACCTACTCCAGTAATATTCAGCCCAATGTATTGATATCTCAAACTTCCAATGGAAGCTCGATTAGATATACACTGTATACATATCAAAGTCAAACATGCGTAACTCAATTGTTTTTTGTATCTTGCGTATGGATGAGCGTAATTTTTTTTTCTATTTTCATACTTGTTAAATGCAGGATGGTCGCAAAATGCGTTTTTTGGAAATTCAACATAATTTATTAGGTATAAAAAAATATGGAAATACTAATTCTTAATCATGTACTTACTTACTTGACCTTAAAGATGCAACTACTTCTTGTACTGCCGCCAAACTTCTATCAGATATAATTTCCTTTTCGCCAAAACACCGAAAATTTTTTAGGCTGAAGATAAAAAAATGTTTGAGTATTTTTGGCGAATAATATAAAATGCAATCACCTGGCAAATATGGAGATCACCAGTTCTTCAAATATCAATATTTATAATCAGGTTTATTAATATTATAGTAGGTATATGAACAATTACCATTTGGTAAAAAAAGAAGGTTTTTGGCTTCCTGTTTCTTCATTTCTATACAAAATCATTTCGCTCCCAAGAACTAATCTCTTTTAAAAAATGACCAATTTTAATTTTTATAATTCTTATTTCATTCATCGTACACCTTATCCAAAAGAATTATTTGTATAAAAGAAAATATACAGAGGAGATATTAAAGTTTCTCGTATGCCTTACATCAAATCACAATTGAAAATGAATTCGAGTTATATTTTTGAATGAAGTGAATGCTCACAGTGTTTATAGCTTCAGAAGGGTACATACATACTTTTAAAAAAAATCGAATTTTCATATCAAAATTTGTATTGGATTTTGAAACACCCCTTATATTTGTCAGGAAAGAAGATATTTCCCTACGATAATAAACATGTCTGTTAAACAATCGAACTTGAAATGACCTCAAATTTCGAAATTAGGTCTGAAACATATAAACAATTAGACAAAACTGCAAATACAGCAACATGCAAATTCCGAAATGAATATTCTTTTACGTGCTCTAAGCAGACTCACTCCATATAATGCTTGATAAAGGAAAACATGTTACAGGTGTTATGAAACAAACCCATATGATTGATTGTATAATGAATGTCGATATTTTTTTACAAAAACTCCTAAAAATATAACCCTTCCAATTTAAACTATATTACTATCTTTTAGAAATATTTATAGTGTGATAACGACAACTTAATTTCCGAAACATGCTTGAAATGTAAATCTCAAACGTTTTTAGAAGTATGCTGCAAATTTTCATTGTGATGCTACTCCAAAAGAATGTTTGTTTATTATTATCGGAGAACAGTGCAAGTGGGTCCATGTATATCAGAAGAAGACCTCAAAAATTCCTTCAAACGATTAATAATATCTCAATATATATTGTCAATACCCAGCTCTGTTTAAAAATAACAAAATATATATAATAGTTTAGTTAGATAGATTATCCTTCCAAAAGAGCAAATAGTCAACACAATATGCTTTTTGGGACTCAGCGCATATTTACACTTGGCCACTCTGTCTTGAAGAACCACAACTAGCTCGAAACACGTATCGACTGTTTTCTCCTGAATGATGAGCATTTTATGTCATGTGTACAGAAAAAAAACGTTAACAAAGATACATATGTTACACTAACACATCAAGGCAGATAAATATTGTTTCACCTAACTCATGTTTTCATTAATGTAATGGATATTCACCTTCAATATAAAATCACTCTACATTTATGCAAAGTTGATTGATAATTTCACCCCCAAAAGTTTAAATCGAAAAAATTATTTTCCGAAGTCTGCAACAGTTTCACTTTGCTTTCGATTATTGATTTCTAAACAAAGTGTATTTAACTGAATAAAATATCATTTAGAAGTAACATATCTACTAATTCATTTCATAATTACCTCCTATGTACATTTTCGATAGAAATCTTTGTTTTTGAAAAATTCCACCGCATTTCGCACGATTGATATTGTTTTTTGTATTATTTCATCGCAATGTAAACTATATTTCGACCTAGAGAAATCATTGGATTACAAAAAGTACGCCCTGCCTCGCATTTTTCTAATAATCACGTTCTATTATAAATATACCTAACCTAACCTTCGATCAGTTCATACTTTGCGTTCTCCAGTCCGATATATAACTGCAAAAAACAAACACATTGAAGTAGTTATTGAAAACATGAGGGCGCTAAATGCCTTGCTATACTTGTCACTTTTATGGTCATCCCCGGCCCAGTCGTACAACACGAAGAGAAGCAGCTTAGAAAAACCAGTCAAAGATAATGTTTGCAGCTATTTGGAAAATCCGAACCTGGTCCACCTCGTCCAGACCCGAATCCAGAGTGCTCATTTACCAGGTCATGTATTGGTGCAAGAAGTACCTACAACAGCATCAAGAAATGCATTTTTCTTAGTCGACCCCCAACAGGAGAACGTCATGAGGAACATCAACTTCGGCTACCTCAACATGAACCAACCCATATCCTCCATGGGGGATCTGATAGAGATGGAATCTGACGAGATCGGATCCCACTACATTCCGAAGGAAAAACCGAAAGAAGTCGTCCCCTGGAAAATGGACGACGTCAAGTCGCTCCTAGCTTCCCCCAAGGTACTGCCTGACGTCATGATTGTACCTGAAGAAGAAGAGGTTTCGCCCCCGATGCACCTCCATCACCACTATCTGGACGAACAGGACGCAAGGCTTGGAAGGTTCGTGGTCAATGACGCTCCTGCTAGCATTCCGGATATTATTCGCACAGAAGACTCGGAGCTAACTCGAGAAACGCAGGACATCAGCCACTCGGAGATCGGGGAGAAGTATCTTTCCGATCCTGCTCGCTACAAGGCTCAAATACCCACTTTGGTCATTGATAAAGTGGTGCCCAGGGAAGAGATACCAGAACCGCCACAACCGAACTTCATGGAGGAGCTGTATAAAATAAAGCTGGCTTTAGCTCTGGCCGAAAAGGAGGTTGAAGCACTGGATCGGAAAGAAGCTCTCGAGCATGCGACATCCACTCCCGAAAGTCAGGAGGAAAGTTCGTTGCAGCACATTCCATCCCAGGTCGAGGTTATGGAGCAAATTGAGAACGAAGCCATCAAAAACTCCTTGAATGCTGACCATTCCACAAATGCCATAGACAAAGATAGTAAAGTGGAGAATAATGAAGAGGAAACACCTGTCGGAAAAAGTAACACGCTAGATACTGAGAATAAGGATGTAGAAGACGAAGTAACAACTCATCGTCAAGTTGCAGAATCTACGTCTGGAACGCCCTTGAAAGTTACTGTATCTCAGAGAGAAGAAGAGGATGACTCCAAACAACACTCTGGATTGAAGAAGTTGAAACAATCTCAGAAGGATAAAGACATTTCCAAGGACGACACTGAAACACCTGGTGGAGAGGAAGACGATATCAAACCCAAATCGGTGGAATCGGATGAGATCAAAAATAAGAAAAAGAGCAGTAAACATTCAAAAAAACTCTCCAGAAAAGAAGGGGTAACATCTGGAAGAGATGAGCACGAAAACAAAAAAGAAAAAACCAAAAAACGAAAGACTTCCAAGATGGATAAGATTCCAGGGAGTTCTGAAACATCAATTGAGAAGCCTTCAGCAATGTTAGAAGATTTAGAGGAGAAACAAGTGCCTAAAAATGTGACTATTTCTTCAAGAATTTCAAAAAATCCTCGGGATACTTTGCTTGATGGTTTGCTGAGTGTAATTTAGTCTGATTAGCTTTTATTCATTACGATAGTTCATAAGATATTCCTTCTGTAAATTCTATTTTTGATATTAAATTTGGTTGGTTATTTGATCGTTGTGTTTTGAGTATTTTTCAGGCAGTCAGAGGTTACATTATTTGAATATTGCAATATTTTGAATTACAATGTGGGTAAAATAATAAACAAATTGGAATAACCGTAATTATGATGGATAATACAACTTAAATTCAGTATAATTTTTAGGGAAAATAACTTGAAATAATTTCTTTCTGCAATTTATAAAAAAGCTGAACTTCTGATGAAAGGACGATGAAATGAAAAAAATATCAAAAAATATTTTTGGGGGAATTTTTAAATTGCACAAAGATGTCTCTTTGATACGAGTGTCTCCGTTGAAGTTGACACGTTTTTTGAATACGTTATAATGGATTTTCATCATTTCATATTTTTGAAGTCGACCATATATAGGAACTTTTTTTAATGAATAACACCAAAAATAACACTGGCCACTAACTGTTAGTCAGTATCTGTCGAAATTGACATTTTTTTTTTCAAAAAAAAAATGTCATTTCTGAATAGAATAAAAAAAAATACATTTGCAAAAATTGACGCCTTGACCCGGCCTTCAAACCCGGAAAATAATGACACTGATAACACACAAAATACATAATTGAAGGTAGACCTAATACCTCTGGCATGAAATGAATCCAAAAAAAGCATTGTTCCCAAACACCAGAATTGCAACACTGTTCTCGACACGTGTTTCACCAAACGCGCATCGAGAAGAGTGTTACAATTCTGGTGTTTGAGAACAGTGGGTGTTTTGGACAAAATACAAAATTTTCAAAAACCTTTGGCTGCATTTCAGTATATATCCTTCATGCTCAACAACGACGATTTTTTTGGGTACTCAGCGGCATTTCTTATAAATTATGCTTTTATATTTGCACAGTACTTTTTAATTGTTGTCTCCAAATACTGAACGTCAGTGAAAGGTACACTTCCATATATTTCCTGCTTTGAATAACTTTATAAATAAAGTCAAATTACGTCAAATCGGGTGAGCGGGGTGGCCAGTAATAATCCCAATCGCGTCCCAAAACTTTACCATTGAACATTCGATTCAGGCACTACTTAACTGCATTTTTTATCAGTGAATCCTTCAAGTGAATTGAATACTTTCGAATATTTGATACTATCGGACGCAAATCTGTTGAGCCACAACGAGAGTGGATTATTATTATCAGTTATACATTTAAACTATTGTTCTTGCCAAAAACTGGAGGTCACTTTGAGATTGAGAAAAAATCCCTTTTTCTATATATTTTTACTAATTTTTTTATCGATATCATTTCTTTGAATATCAATGTTTAGGATATGTGACGGAATTGGCCGAAACTTGATGAAAGTCCACAAATTATTCAAGTAACTCTTTATTGTGAGATTTTCACTGCACAGTGAATAGACAACGTTTGGGAGTTTTGATACACTTTTGAGATATTTAAAATTGTAGATCCAATATAGATACTTTCGTTTTCCAGGGGATCTCAAAAATCGCAAATTTGTGTTTTGAAGATTCAACTTGTTTGACTTTCTTCGTCACAGCT